TAGCCCTAAATCCACCCATAGTGCCCTTGGACATTTGCCAAAGCCCATCTATACAACGTCAAGGGTGACCATAGTGTAAATATGGACTTTGGGTGACAGTGGTGTGTCACTATAGGTTCACTGATTATAACAAACGTACAGGATGTTGGAGGGGGCTCTGCTTGTGTGGGGGGTATGGGAACTCTTACTTCCTGCTCAGTTTTGCTGTGAACCTGAAACTGCTCTAAAAATATTTTGTATATTATAAGCACCTGGGTGGCTCAGTCAGTTGAGTGTCCAACTTGGTTTCAGCTCAGGTCATGATCTCAGGGTCCTGGGGTCAAGCCCTGAGTTGGGCTCTGTGCTCAGTGGGGAGTCTGCTTGAAGATTCTCTCCCTCTCCCTCTGCTCTTCCCCCTGCGCTTGGTTGCTCACTCTCTCTCAAGTAAATAAATAAATCTTTAAAAATATAAAAATATTTTATATATTAAGACAAAACAAAACAGAGGGACAAGTAGAAAACAAGTAATAAAATGGTAGACCTAAGTCTAACCATAGTGATAATTACATAAATGTTAATGGACCAAACTCTCCAATTAAAAGACAGAGATTGTCACAATGAATAAATAAGCAAGACTTACTGCATACTGTGTATAGGAGATTCACTTTAAATATAAAAAACACAGGTTGAAAATAAGATATATAGATGCAAAATATATCTGTAGATCTAAGATCTATCCATCTATTTATCTTGCAAACAGTGAACATAAGAAGATTGGAGTAGCTGTATTTATATCAGATAAAATAGATTTCAGGAGGTTGAGTATTACCAAAGATAAAGGGGAAATGTCTAATGATAAAAGGCTCGTTTCATCAAGAAGACTTATCAATTATAAATATGTCTAATAACAGAGCCTCAAAATAAATGAAGCAAAATTGACAGAACTAGAGAGATAATTAGGCAGTTCCACAATTATAATAAGAGATTTTAACATCTCTTTCTCCCACCAAATATTAGAACAAAAACCCAAAAGAGATTAGTAAAGACGTAGAGGATCTGAACACTACTCTCGGGCACCCTGACCTAACTGCTATTTGTAGAAAGCTACACCCATCAAAGCAGAAGACAAATTCCTACTAAGTGCACATTGTACATTCTCTAACATAGACCAAGTGCTGTGCCCTAAAACAAGTTTCAAAAAAACTAAAGAAGTAAAGCTGGATTTTTTTGCAGATGACATAATTATTTATGTAGAATATCCTAAGAAATCTACAAAAAGTGCTAGAACTATCAAGTGAATTTCATAAAATTTCAGAAACTAAGACTAATGGACAAATTTTAATTGTATTTTTATGTACTGGCAGCAAACTATTGGAAAATGAAATTAGAAATTCAGTTCTATTTACAATAATACCAAAAAATAAAATATTTAGTAGTAAGTTTAACTTATTTGTTGAGTAGTCTGAGCTTGTGTATAGGACTGGCTTGTGCAGAACCCCTTTCTGCTCAGGACCACCTCTTCACTGCAAACTTCAGAAGACAGCTGAAAGGAAAACTTGAAGAAATGGGAAGTGATAGCACATTCATAGATTGGAAGACTCAATATTGTTAAAATGTTGATTATCCTAGCCAAAATTCCAGCAGGCTTTTTTTTTTTAAAAGATTTTATTTATTTATTTGACAGAGAGACAGAGAGAGAGAGAGAGAGAGCACAAGCAGGCAGAGCGGCACGGAGTGGGAGAGGGAGAAGCAGGCTTCCCGCTGAGCAGGGAGCCTGATGCGGGGCTCGATCCCAGGACCCTGGGATCACGAACTGAGCCGAAGGCAGACGCTCAACCAACTGAGCCACCCAGGAGCCCCAGCCCAGCAGGCTCTTTTGTAGAAACTGGGAAAGTGGTTCTAAAATATGGAAATGCACATAACCTAGACTTGACAGCAATTAAACAAAGCAAAGCTTATGCTACCAGTTTTCAAGATTTCAGTAAAGCTTTGGTAATTGAGACTGTGATGTTGGTGAAGGATAGACACATAGGTGAGTGGAGCAGAACAGAAAGTCTAGAAATAGACCCACACACATACACTCAGTTGATTTTCAACAAAGATGTCATGATAACATGAAAAGGAAAGTCTTAACCGTGCTGCAACTCCTGGACATGCATATGGAAAAAATAAACTTTGATCTTTACTTCATACCATATACAAAAGTAACTCAAAGTGTAAAAGCTAAAACTCTAAAACTTCTAGAATAAAACATAGGAATGACCATGAGGTCAAGGCAGAGATTAACCCTAGGACACAAAAAAGCAAGAATCATAAAAGAAAAAATTGATGTGTTTGATTTTATCAAGTGAAAACACTTACTCTTCTGGATACCCATGTGAAAATGAAAAGGCAAGTCACAGATGGGAGAAAATATTTATATCTGAAAAATGCATATATCTGACAAAGAACACGTGAAGAACTATTACAACTCAATAATAGAGAGCCAATTAAACCAAAAGGGCAAATGATTGAAGAAGACATAAACACATGAGAGCTAAGAGCCATCATTGATCATCAGGGAAATGCAAATTAAAGCAACAGTGGGTTACCACTGTGCACCCACGGACGCCATGCCAAGTGCCGGTGGGGGCGTGCTTGGGATCACCGCTGTGGGGGACATCGCGGGTTAGAAAGGTAAGTACACACTCACTTTGACCCAGTCGTTCCAGTCCTAAGTACCTACCCAAGAGAAATTAAACAAATGTCCACAGCAGGTTTATTTATAGCCATTAAAATCCAGAAACAATCCAGGCGTCCATCAGCAGGTGGGTGGGTAAAAGCAACGTTGTACACCCTCACCATGGAATCATCATTCAGCCATAAAAGGAATGAAGTGCAGATGAATCTAAGGATCATTAGTTCAAGTGGAAGGAGCCAGGCACAAAAGTGTGTATACTGTATGGTTCATTTACATAAAACTGTAGACAATGCAGGCTGATCTGCAGTGATAAAGAGCCTGTGGATGCATGAAGCCAGGCTTGAGGGAAGGACTGCAGAGGGGCTCGAGCTTCCCCTGCGGGTGACAGAGACACCCTGCACAGTGTCTGAACTCACTGAGTGTGTGCTTTACATGGATGCGGTTTATCGTGTGTAAATTATACCCCAATAACATCGCCTAACTGGCAGACGAAAGTGCTAATTAAAACCTGGGACTTCTGAGGGCGCCTGGGTGGCTCAGTCTGCTAAGCGCCTGCTTCTGCTCAGGGTCCTGGGATCAAGCCGCGTGCTGGGCCCCCTGCTCGGTGGAGGGTCTGCCCCTCCCTCTCCGCCCCTCCCCCCATACTTGTGCTCGTGCTCTCTCTTCTCCCTCCCTCCCTCTGTCTCAAATAAATAAAATCTTTAAAAAAAAATCTTGGATTTCTGATTCCTGAATTGAAAGGGTAATTTTTGACTTAATGTGACCGTGGGGATGCCTCTTCACACAGAGTGAGCTGAAGGGTCCGTGACTTTTAGGGTTTCCACAAGGCAGAGAGAGATGGGCTCTGCTGAGCACACATGGAATACACAAAAGGGAAAAGTTTTGATCACACCCTGTAGGTGAGGGTCAGCGTGTCTATGACGTCCGCAGTTGCTGTCCTAGAAAGGGGAAGGTGCGTTTTGAATAGAGCATGCATTTCAAATGGGATGGCATGAATAAGGGGTGGGGAGGGGGCTCATAACAAGGCCTCATAAGTTGTTCCTGCTTCTGCAGGGCTCCTAGCATGAAGTGTATAACAGGACAAAGCCCCAGCCCCTGTCCCAATATTGCTGTCATGCATGTGTCCCCTCCCCATGCTCGGAAGCCTGGGGCCCACAGCCTAAGGAGGCTCGGCAGTGGGGCTCATCCTCGGCAGTGGGGCTCATCCCCAGGACCCCCAGGCTGGAACTCTCCCACCACCTGGTCCTGCTGGTCCTGAGGCCAGATGAAGGAGTGGTTTCTCATTCCCCAGCCCAAAATGTGTTCCTTGCTGACCCACCTTGCCACCATGGAAGCTTCATCTCCAGGAACCTGAACAGGTTCCCTGAGTAACAGCTCTTTTTGTCCAGTAAGAAGTCTTTATAGAGGTGACTTTTATATGTCAAAATATTTAGCCAGCTGCATTTTGGACAAATTATAATAATTATGGTTACCATGTTGCATGTTAACAGAAATTTGTTTAAAACTTTAACAATTTACTGCAGGGTTTGTGCAGGTTAGTTTTCTCTGGTCACACTGGAAATGTGACAGCTTAAGTCCTAAATCACACGGGCTGCCGAGTTTTGAGTTTGCTAGTGTCAGGAAATGCACTTGCAGTGTGTGGTGCTGTCTGCTGTTCCTTCTGCCTGTTACTCCATCAGAAGTCCTCTGCTCTGGGGTTGTCCTCAGTCGTGGCTTTAGATGGTACTTTTATCACCCACGATGACATTGTTCCTGCAGTTTCCATGACAAGAGCAGGGTGAATAGTAGAAAATTATAAGGCTGAGGGTCCCTGACTGGCCTGTGTTGGCCCCAGAGGTGTTTCACTGCCTAGGTGTTCTGTCTCTTGGTGAAAATGCTTGAATTGGGGTTTTCCTAGGACAGAGCAAGATGGCAGATGGACAAGTCCCGTCCAAGCTCATGAGCAGAACCCCCTTCTGCTTCGTCCTTTCAGGAGGCAGTGAATGGCTGAAAGCTTTGGAGGAAGGAGTAGTCCATCTAGATCCAGATCCAGATCCAGATGGGTTGAGCACAGACCCTCCAGTCCCTCAGCTCTGGGGACTCCTTATGGTAAGTCAGTTGAGCCTACCAACAATGGGCCTCACCGACTGCCTTGATTTGCAGGCCTGGGACCAGGGATCTGCGGTTTCTTAGCAGCCCCGCCCTGCCAGCTAAGCCCTGGGCTCCGCCTCTGGATGTCTGCAGCTCCCATCCCAGAGGGCCAGGTAAGGGTCCTGCATCTCGGCCCCCACCTGGTGCCCTGGAAGGAGGCGCCCACATCTGCACAGTGCTCCTATCTGTTGCAGACCCTGTGTTCTGGAACATGGCGCTCCAGCGTGCCGTCCTCCTGGCAGGCCTTCTGGTGGAAGTTGCCAGCAAATCCTCAGAAAGTGCGGTAGGTGTCCGGTCACACAGCAGCGTGGGTGCCAGGAAGTAAAGTCAAAACCCTCTCTTCCCAGCCCCTCATGGAGGCAGTGGGCCCTTCACCTGGCAACCTTCGGGGGTCACCCTTGTCCTGGCCCCAGGGACAACCAACTGTGCCTGCTGTTGGAGTCAGGGAAACCTGTGCCTCACGGAGAAAAGCAAACACATGCCCCCCAACTGGCACCTGCTCTGTTATGTCCCCTAGAAGCTTCTTTTTCTCTTTGCCAAACTGAACCTGTCACTGTAGCTGGAAAAGGGTCTCCGCAGAATTGCCCCCACTGGCACCGAGGGGAGCCTGCGAGCTGCCTGCCCAACTTGGGGTGGATGGAGACTGCGTGTCCAGGCAAGCAGCAGCATTAGGCAGGGTCTGCCGCAGGCCTCCTGTGGCCAGGTACCCTGGCTCTCCCAGGCTGCTGACGCGGGTATGCTGTGCCCCGGCCATGCCCACGTGCACCCAGCTGCACATCATCCAGGCCTTCCAGAGGGTGAGGCCTTCTAGCCGCTCTGCCTCTGCCAGGGTTGGGTGGGATGGGATGGCTGGAGTGTCCCTCGTGGGCTTGACCTCAGCCACGAACTGGCCTTGGACCCCTCCTGTGGTGGCATAGAGTGTCCGTGCCATTCCTTAGACACCCCTCACTGTTCACTGTGTTCTCGTCACAAGAAACAAAAGTTCGGCTGTGATAAACACACACTGAGCCAAGCTCCCACGGGAAGCCCGTCAAGTTTGGTCCTGTAAATGCCAGCACTTGGCACATCTGTTCCCCACTCAGTGTCCCCCCTGCATATGCACACAGCAGGCGTGAGTTCCTACCCCACAACCTGCCCTGCTCTGGGCACTTCCTCTGCAGGGGCCCTGCTAGAAACCCCTTGTGGAGGGCAGCCACAGAACGCTGAGAAGAGCAACCAGGACCCGTGGGGTGACTGTTTTCTGGGGCGCAAAGGGCAGACACGCCTCACCGGGGAGGCCATGGATGTCTGGGTTTATCTTCATATTTTATTACAGTCTAGAAAAACGTGTGTTTCCTTTTCCTGGGAAGGAGTCCACTTGTGGTACTGGGGTAGGGTTTAGCACCTGTAATTGTTTAATTTTCAAAGCCACCGTCTGGCAAGTGGTGAGCAACATACAGGCAACACGTCGTTCTCACAGCCTCCGTGCCACGTGTTGGTAATCTTCGCAACATTTCAGACTTTTTCATGACTCTCCTATTTGTTACAGTGACCTCTGATCAGTGATTATGACCCGCTGAGAGCTCAGGTGATGGTCAGCATTTTGTAGTGGTAAAGTATTTTAAATTAAGGCATGTACATTGTGTTTTAGACACAATACAATTATACACTTCAGAGACTATAGTATAAACGTAACTTTTACATACACTGGAAAACAAAAAATTCACTTGATTCACTTTATCGTGTACTAGAACCGAGTCCACAGTATCACCGAGGTATGCCTATAAATAATTTTTTGGATTGAAGTGCCCCACCCTATATCCACTTGTGTCCATGGAGCTGAGCAGCAGTAGCTCTGCCCCAAACCCAAGAGACCCACCTTCGGAAAGCGCCACAGCCCCTACCAGCTCCCAGGTGAGGCCGAGTGGTCAGGCAGGCAGGCAGGGGAGGGAAGTGGCTGCATAGACCGCTGAGCACCCACAGCCTGGCAAGTGTCCCCGGGACCACTCCTTGCCCCACCAGGCTGCCCCAGCCCAGTCCCCTGGTCAGAATCTCTGGGTGGGCCCCCAAGGGATCCCCCTTCCTGGCTTTTGGGAATCTGAGTGCTTAGGAACATGCTTGTGTTTATTCAGTCATCAAACACTCACTGGGCACATGAAGTTCTGTCCCGGGAAGTGTTCATGTGGTGTGACTGTGTCCTCACCTCGCTCTGGGTAAGCAAGAGATGGTCACCTGATTCGGAATTTTTTTTTTTTTCGATTCGGAATTTAGAAGAGGCCAGGGCCATGGGCGTTGGGTCAAGCTCGTGAGGTACCCCCTCTGCGGATGCCATTCTCAGCCTGGCTTACTTGTCCTGCCCGAGCCCCAGCTGTGGGGTCTGCAAACTCACCGCCCTCTCCCCTCTAGGGCCAGCAGCCTGAATGTTGTGTGGACGTGGTGGATGTCAACACCACCTGCGGGGGCACAAGCCTGTGTGGTCCAGGTAAGCTGCTTTGGCACCAGCCAACCTTGACCAGCCTTGGTGATGAGGACAGTGCTCTTGCGAACCCTGTGGGGGTCAACATAGCTGGTGTGAGCAGGTGGGCACACAGGCCCCTCGGGAAGGATGCTGGAGATGCCTGGGAGGTAGGCGAGGGGCTGGAAGAATGGGCAGAAGCAGCAGGAAAGTGACAGGACCCCATCTGAGCCTCCCTCCCGGCTGGCAGCCTGTCCGCCTCTTCTTGGGTGGAGGTGGGTAAGTCCGCCTGGCCCTTGGTCTCTGGCAGTGAGTGTGTTTCTTTCCTCCTGCTGTGTGGGCGACCTCCATGTGGGGCCTTTGTCTCCTGCTTCTCAGGGAGAAAAAGGGAGGTCCAGGCCTTTCTTGCTCCTGCTGTTTTTTCAGAGTCTTTAGCTGGAAATATTTTTTGTGTGTGAAGAGGCATATTCTGGTTTCCCTCGGTCCCCCATTTGAAACTTTACCCTCAGAAAGTTTTACATATTAAAAGCCAAGCTGCAAAGAGAATTGGGTTGGAAGTTGTGAGATAAGGGACCGGCAAAGGGGGAGAGAGGCGTAGACGGAACCAGAAGAAAAGAACAGGTCTGGGCATGCTGCCCCGCGCCTCACCACAGGGGCCTCTAGTCCTGGCGGTGGTCGGTCCGGTGAAGCTGATGTGCAGGTGTCAGGAGCTGGTGTGGCAGGTGGGCCTCTCCGAGAGCGACGCCTCTGTGGTGCGAGCAATCGGGTATTTAGTAAGAGGCATTTCTATGGAAACAAAAGAAAAACAAATGTTAATGGTCGCAGCAAATTTTAAGTCTAGTTTCTCAATCTGGAGGGCAGTCAGCTAAGTACCCTTCTAGATGTTGGACTCAACGCCCATTTAGGTGGAGTGAGGATGGCAGAGGCGGTGTCTGACAAATTCCGGGGCTGTGCTGCGAATGTGCCTGCTGAGGCCATGGGGCTGCTTGTGAACTTTCTGAGAGGCCCACACGGGAACAGGCGTGAGGCTGTGTCCACACGTGAGGCGTTGAGGTAATTTCTCCGAAGTTCATACCCACACATCCAGCCTCCGCTTGCAGGGCTTTGCGGAAAGGGCAGTTTTAGTTCTTAGTGATTCCAAGTCAGGAGGGTGGGAGGAAGGAAAGTGGAAATGTTAGTTTGGAGAGTCGTAGCCAAATATTGGAAGAGACTGGAAGGTTTCAGGGGCCGGTGCAGCTTACAAGTAGGTAACAAAACCTCAGACACAAACAGGAGTGGAGTCTGATACCCACAGAGATGCGCTACAGACTAAGTCTAGCCTCGCTAAACGTGGCCTGGTCATCTACGTAGTGCAGCAAGAATAGTGATCGACCATTCAGACTCTTTTTAAGTCTGCCTTGCTGGACCTTTCCACGAGGAATCTTAGATTGGACTCCCGAGGCCAGGAAGCCAAGCCGAGGACTCGCCATCGGCCCTAACCCTAATATGTACAGATTTTGGTGAATTCCTCTCTTCTCAAGGTCCGAATACCCTCATTTCCTGGACTTCCCCGTAAGTGACCTTCCTTGCTCACCTGTGAGGCTGGGAAGCCAGTAAGCCAGGTGTCAGGTGGTTTTTCAAAGGGGCTTCATAAAGTCAACCTTAGCTCCTTCGTCTTTCTGGTCACTGGTCCTGGCTCTCTAGCTGTCCCTTGTCCCTGCACACAACAGCCCAGCCCGGGGCCTCCCAGTTACCTTGGAGCCAGCCAGAGGGGTGCTTTTCGGGAGAACCACTGCACGGGCGCCAGGTGCATGCCAGGCCCCCCGGTTCCCAGGCCCCCTGGTGTGGTGCTAGGCCTGTCTGCCCACAGCATCACAGGCACTGTCACTGGTCAGTCTTCGGGCCCTGCCGTCTACTTGGTGTCCCTGCAGAAAGGCCTTCACCTCACAGTGACATTGTGTGTGGATTAAACATCAGTACAATTCATCATGAAGGACGTGTCCCTGGACACTGCCCCAGGGACCAGCGCTAGCATTCAGGGCCAGCTCAGTACCTGCACTCAGTATCGATCGAGCATGTGTTTACTCAGCCGCTGTGCTATATGTTGGGGATGTTAAGAAGCAATAAAGGTTATAACACACAATTCCTGCCCTTAAGGGGTGCCCTGGCTAGTTGGCAAAACGGACTGTCTGCAAACCACTGGCCAGTGGGAGCTGCGCTGCTCCCAGCGCCGGGGGAGCCTGGGGCTTTGGGCAGTGGCGTCAGTCTGGGACCTCCCCAGGGAAGGGGACGGCAGAGGGCAAGGGTCACAGCTGGGCTGGAGACAGTGCCCCTGAAGGGGGTGGCCGTGTCCCTGTGGCACCTGTGAGGGTCCGGTGGTCAGGCTGCTGGGGTCCTCCCTGGAGCATGAGGCCGCGCACGGCACCTGCCGGCCTCGGGTTCCCTGCTGCTCTGAGTGTTTTACAAGACGTCCAAGAAAGGATCCCACAGAGCCCCTGGGTGAGAGCTCGCTGCGGCTCCCGCCAAGTTTGTGTCATTTTCTGAAATCAAACCTGCCCTTCCGTCCAGACTTCCAGAACGAGCTAATTAGCATTCTTGAACAAATTCTCAATTTCACAAACTCAGGATATGGAAAAGCCCCCCGAAGGCAGAGCTGAGTCACTGTCTCCCGCACAGGCTGCTACAGGCACCGGAACGAGAACGGGAGTGTCAGCTGCGTCCGCTGCAGGAACGGCACCTTCAGCCCCCACTGCCGCGGCCGCCCCGAGGCCCCGCCCGCCAGGCCCACCTGGCCCGCTTCCCACCGAGGGGCCACGTCTCCAAGTTCGGGAGGAACGGGTGGGAGTTGCCCTTCTTGTCCCCACAGCAGCGGGCGGCCCACGGTTCCCTGGACCACCGTCCGTCGAGGGGATACCCCCCACACCCGGGGCCCTCTCTCCCTGAGTCCTGGTATCCGTGTGGACAGCTGTGGGGTGAGGGCGGCTCTTGTCTCCAGGCCTCCTCCCTTCCTGGTTTCTGGCCCGTGATTCCCCACTGGGCTGCGTCTCTGGCTCCCTGGGAGTCTCAGCGGCGTCCCCGCGCGTGGTCGAGACCTGCCCGGGGAGCTGGCCGCCCTGACGTCTCTGCTTCCCCACAGTCGCTGGCTGGGGCGCACAGTTCCCACTGAACAGGAGCACGGGAGCGCCCGGGCAGCCAAATCTTGGTGAGTCTCTGGCTCACCAGTTGGGAGCAGGGCCTCTGCCCAGGTCCTGGTGGAGGAGGGGGTCATCATCTGCCATTGCCAGTGCACACGACCACTTATGCTGGCCTCAGTAGGGCCACAGCCACGGCCAAGGTCACGCTGCACCCCAGGCAAGAGATGCATGGACAGGGACCCAGCCTGACCACAGAGCAGGGCTGGTGGAGTCGGTGGCCCCCGGGCCGGGGCTCACTGGGCACAGGCAGGAGGCCCTCGCACATGCCCCTGAGCGGTTCTAGTGAGTGGAAATGCTCACAGCTGCACAGCTCACCCCTTGCCTCAGTCCTGGCCCACCCAGCACCTCGGTGCACGGGAACTCGGGACGTACGGTTGTCTGGAGATGGGAGGGCACCCTGAGGCCCCCTGGCCCCCATCCCCTGAGGCTCTTCTGAGGATATAGGGCTCAGACTGCAAACACTGCTTGCCAGGCAGAAGAGCCCACCACACTGCCTGGTCCTCATGGGGCAGACACAGGGCCCACCTCCTGCAGACTCTGTCCTCAGCTTGCATCCCATCCTATCTGAGATGTGGTCCGCCAGCCACGGAGGCTTAGCTCCGCCACAGGGGCCACTGCAGTCAGGGAGCAGGACCTACCCCAGGAGTGGTCACCTCCTGTCAGGTGACCAGGTTGTGATGGGGGTTGTGTGTCCCCCAGACACTGGGCCTTCAGCAGAGGGCATGTTGGACCTGGACTGAGGGCTCCTGCTTTCTGCACAAGTTTCAGGACCAGAAGCATGTGGCCTTGTGCTGACCTAGAGCACCAAGGCCGGCCACCAGAGCAGCAGAGTTTTAGGGTGGGGTCAGCACAGACGGCCCTGACCTCCTGTGACACCATGCCGGGTCTGGCAGTGGGGGTACCGATGGAGGAAGGCCGGCTAGTCTGGCTCTAGAGCCCATTTTCATTGCGGCAAACTTGGGTCAGGACACGCCAAATTAGCCGGAATTCATCCCCCCCTCTAGGTTCCAACGTAGCCATGGCCACACCTCCTGCCTGTGTCTCAGGGTCAGAAAGCCACCTCCCCACAGGTATCTAAGAGCACTTTCCCCACAATTACCATCCAGAGCCCCCAGCCATGGGCCCGCCAGCCCATCCTGACCCCGTGTAGGTAAAGATGGGCAAGCATCATGGCGCTAGGAAGGCCATCTAGAGGCAAGGAACGAGCTCCCACGAGGTGAGGGTGTAGTGGCAACCCCGGCCTCTGAGTTGAAGGTCTGACCTGGCTTGCCAGGGATGTGGGACCCCATAGTCTGTGCTGAGCCTTCAGGAGGGAGATGGGGGCCCCAGGGCCTGCTGTTCTTAGGGGCTAGAATCTTGAGCCCCCTCAGTGCCCCACCTCCCTGTGACACGCCGGAGGCCTAGGAAACTCGAGCACCTCAGACCCCACAGCCAGGTTCTGGGTCTGCGGGGCACCTGAGACCTGAGTGTGGAACCCCGTGAGGGCCCAGGCGTGTTCGGGGAGCAGGGGCCTGAGAGGTCCTCTGAGGCCCGCCCAGGCTTGCCACTGGTTGCCACGCACTCTGCTCACAGGGAGCCCGCAGGTGGCAGCCTCCCTCTTCCTGGGGACGCTCTTCGTCAGCTCTGGCCTCATCCTGTCTGTGGCTGGGTTCTTCTACCTGAAGCGCACCAGCAAACTCCCCAAGGTCTTCTACGGGAGAAACAAAGGTATTCCGGCCAGAAGGGTGCCGGCCAGTGCACACCCCTGGGGAGCCACGGGGACTGCCTGGGGGGCAACGGGGGCTGGGGCTGGGGTGCAAGACGCAGGCTGTGCAGCCATGAAGACTCCTCACAAAACAACAGGGAGGGGACTGGGTTGCCACGGGGCTCTCGTGTCTGAGAGTAAGAGGGGCGGCCACGTCCTAGGGAGGCTCCCATGTGGATTCAGTAAAGGTGCTGGTGTGACTCCATCGTGGGGCGTCCTGGCGGGGTTGCTGATGAGGGGTGGGGGGTGGGGAGGAGGTGACACCCCGGTCTTGTGGCCGCCGGCCCGCAGCTCCCCAGCCAGCTGTACCCTCTTGCCATCCTGGCCTCTGGGAGTGGGGGTAGGCAGGCTGGTGCAGGGACCGTGGGGCCCCCTGCCACCCCAGCTTACCCTGGGCCTGGATGCCGGATCTGCCCCCCTCCGGAAGAGACGGGCATCACCCCTGCTGTGCCCTTGGGTGTGCCAGGCAGGTGGTCCGGCCACCAGATCGGACCCATCCGTGGACAGAGCTAGTGGGTGGTTAGCCAGAGCCTCCTCACCTGGCCTCTGTGAGACCCCTGTCCCCCCACCCGGAGCCAATGCTGGGTGCCTCGGTGGGGTTGTTAGAGCTCCCAGATCCTGACCCACGCCAGCCAGGGTGGGCCCTTCCGGGTCAGCTGTGGGGGGCTGCTCCTCAGCAGTGGCCACAGGGGTCCGGGTGTGTCAGTGCAGGGGCTGGGGCAGACCCACTCAGTGTCTCTCCTCCCGAACACCCCCAGAGCTGGGCTTGGTCAGCCTAGGTGGCCACCAAGAGTGCAGGGGTGCATAGCAACCTCCCCAGTGGAGGTCTCCCTGAGGCCTGCCCCCAACGCTGGGCCTCCCCTGGGGCTGAAGGCATGCTCTTGCCTGTTTTCCTGGTGGTGTTGGAGACCAACAGCACTGTACCTTCTGAGGGCTGGCTTGTCGCTCTGCCAAAGGGCCTAGGATGGCGGCTCCCCCTGGGGTGCTTGGGGGCCCACCACCCCAAGAGCAGGTGGGAAATGTGGTGGGACAGACAGCTGGGCCCCGGGCACTGCTGGGCAGTCGTGGGGAGGTGGGCCTGGGCTGGGCCTGGAGTGGGGGAAGAGCCTCTGCAGGCCCCGTGGACCCCCTCCCCAGGCGAGGGACCCCTGCCCCAGGTGACACCCGTGTTTGCCCGCAGCCCCTGCCCTGCAGCCTGGCGAAGCCGTAAGTAACCTGGAAGGATGGGCCAAGTGCCCCCGTGTCGTGGGCCTCTGTGCTGGGGGCCGCCCGCTGTTCTCACTGTGCCTTTTCTCCTTTTCAAGGCTGCCATGATCCCCCCGCCACAGCCCTCAGGTATGTCAGCCCTCATCTCAGGGTGAAAATTTCAAAATGATTTTGCCCGTGGGATCGGCCACTCTCCAGCGACACTGCAGGGCTGGGCTCTGCAGGCACCTGGTCCTGCAACTCTCGGGACATGGGCCAAGCCCTCCCCCAGTCAACCACAGCTCTCCTGCCTTTTCCCATTCCTTTCTATTCCTGACATTTTATTCCTGACATGTTGAGTCTGTTGGGAGAGAATGAGAATCCCCAGCACAGGGTCTGGGGCCACCCCTGAAGCCTTCGCTTGGCCCTCACCAAGTCCCAGCTCTACCTGGGTGGTGGGTGTGGGGAGCAGGCTGGCCCAGGCATAAGGCCTTCCCGTGGTCCCTCCTGAGTGGCTGGCACTTCAGTTTTGCTGGGTCAGGCGTGCCCCACCTCAGATGATTCCAGGAATAGGCGCCCATATCAACCCCGTTACAGATGACACCATGAGCACAGAGAGGTTAAGTGACTGGCCCATGGTTACACAGCCTTGGAGTAGGAGCCTCCTGGCCTCCCCAGTCTGTGTTGTTGCCACTGTGCAGGGGTCTGGAGTGGGGACAGGGGAACATGTCCCTCTTCTTTGGGGACAAAGAGGTTATTGGCCGAGGCTGGATCTGCTCTGTTCTGTAGAATACTTGTCTCTGATGTCTCTAAAGCAGTACCATCTACAAGCATCTTGAATTTCCCTGCATTAGTCTCCGAGAGCCACCGTAACAAATGACCACAAACTGGGGGCTTGAAACAACAGAAGTGTATTCTCTCACAGTCCAGGAGGCCAGAAGTCAGAAGTCAAGGTGGGGGCTGGGGGGCACTCCCTCCAGAGTCTCTAGGGGAGGGTCCTTCCTGCCTCCTCCGGCCTCTGGTGGGCTTGTGACCACACCACCCCAGTCTCTGCCCCCATCTTCACGTGGCTTCTCCCGGGTCTCCTCTCTCTGCCTCCCTCTTGTGAGGACGCTGGTCACTGGATTTAGGGCCCCCCAGATAATCCATGAGGATCCTTAATCACATCTGCAAATACCCTTTTTCCAAGTAAGGTCGCATCTGCTGGCTCTGGGGCTTCAGACATGGACTCATTTGGGGGCCACCATCCAGCTCTGCTGTGCATCATGGGACCTTTTGCCTCTGTGTCTCTTGAGAGCAAGGCCCTCACCCAGGCCAAGGTGCTTGGGGTGCAGGGGCACCGAGTGTCTGCAATGAGTGGAGCATTCATCAGACACTCTCCGCGCACAAGCTGGGGCTCAGTGGGATCTCCTCCCCTGGGCTGCTCCACACCCCACTCCCAGGAGCTCTGGGGAGGGCTGGGACCTGGGGCCATCCTGCCTGTCCCCGGCCCCACTCTGACCCTGCCTGTCTTTGACCCTGTTTCAGTGCGGAAGCCGCGCTATGTCAGGCGCGAGCGGCCCTTGGACAGGGACACGGGCCCCACTGCCATCTCCTCGGTGGAGGCCCGGGTCAGCAACGTCTGACCCGGGGACCCACCCACAACTCTGCACACCGCCTTGGAGAGAACCCAGCACACAAAGGACAGGCACTGCCCAGCAAGGCCTCAGGACAGGTCTGGACACAGCCCCTGACTCGGCGTGACTATCTCCCAGCAGCAGGTGCTGCCGGAGGGTGCTTCTTCCCTCCCCACAGCTGCTCAGTGTGATGGACTGGGAGCCGCGTCCTTGAGCCAGGCTCGGGAGTGTGGCCAGGTGGGGTCTGGGCCCCTCGGGAGAGACCGCTCCCAGCGGCCAAGCGCCTACAGGGACTGCTGGGCTGCTCCATGCCCCTCTGCCTTTCCGAGCCCGCGGTGGGCAGACATCCCCCACCACCAGGCCAGTTGGCCTCCTGGCATCCCCTCCGAGACGGTGTCCAGACAAGGGGAGGCGTGGCATGAGCACTGGCCCCTCCGAGGGTGAGGGGCCCACAGGGCTGTCCTGTAGCCAAGACCCCCCACCGTCACTCCCCCAAGCCCAAGACCACACATTTCCAGGAGCTGCAGAGGCGAGCTTCCTGGTTTCTTACTGACTTCTGTCAGTTTTAAGCAGAAAAGCCAGAGAGACACTGCTTTCCTCCTCTGTCGCCTGCCCTTGACCCGCTCCCCACGTTGGGTCCAGGTGCTGCAGGTTCTCGTCCACCCAAGGAACGGATGCTGGCCTGAAGCTGTTGGAGATCAGGGCCATGTCCGTCCAGGATCACGTTCAACTGTGACTCCTGCCTGGTCTCCATGGACCTGTGGAGGGCTGTGCTGGCCAGTGGTCCTGTCCCAGCTGCCCCAGGCCTGGAGACGCATTGCTGGCCCTGGCTGGTTACAGATAGACAGGGGTTCCCAAGAGAAAGGAGCATTCGTGGCCACCTCTCACGCCCTGGGCTCAACACTGACCTTCCCAGGTTCTCAGTCGGGGCTGGTATCTCTCCTTCAGCGTCCACATCCCAGGGGCCCGAGGCAGGGCCCTGTGTCCCTTCTGCACCGTGGTGCCTGTCCCAAGCATTCACAGTTTGCGGATACTTGGACCCACAGCTGGTCCATTAGCTGAGGGGCGCATCAGCTTCAAATCAGTGTCAATAAACTGTTCAGGGCTTTCTTCCCCCAACCTCCCTGCTCCAAGGTTCGTCTGTTCCTCGGGAAAGGTGAAGCCCCACCTGCCCTGCTGTGGGGGCGGCCCCATCAGCCGGGCTGACATGGACTCGGTCACCTCACCAGGAGCAGTGATGCACCCTTGTGGGTACCGTCTCTCATTCGTCTGTCCCCTCGGTCTGAGCAGAAGGGGTCCAAAAGGGAGGTGGGGAGACCAGGGTCAGGGTCCCCACCAGCTTCAGGGCCCACGGGAAAAGGGAGAGGACACTCCACCGCTGAGCCGCTGCCACTCCTGGCAGCAAAGACAACTCTGAATTTGACCCTGCAGCCACCTCTGGCTCCCCCACTCGAGATGTGCTTTCCCTGACCTTCAGGCCTGGGGGGGCCTGGTCTTTGGGGCCCTCAGCCCGCCAGGCTTTCCCCCTGCCACTGGGCATCCCCTGGGCCTGGGTGCCACTGTCCTTTAGGCCCCCAGATAGTGGGGAGCAGGGTCACGGGACTTCCCAGCCCCGGGACCCTGATGGGCCTTCAGGCTGGAAAGCATGTGAGTGGGTGCAGTGGGGCACAGGGGCACCTGGGCCGTTGTGGGGCGGCTGGTAGTGCCAGGCACCCACAGTGGGGCTCCATCCCGAGCTCTGTCCTCAGCAACCCTCTTATCCGGACTCCAGCCCTCACGTAGGAGGCCAAACTGAGACCAGTTTATGGGGCCATCGGCTTAGGCCCAAACAGGCAGGTGGGGCACCTGTCCCCTTCTGACCCCCCACCATGTCAACTGCTGTGGGGGCTCCCCCACACCCTCGGAGGGGAGCATGGTATGGGGGTGGGCAGTTGGCACAGTCCGGGGCTCACAGCCGGCAGCTCATTCGTTCATTCATTCATTCACTCAGCACTAGGAGAAGCGCTGAGAGCAGAGGTCGGAAGTTAGCAAGAGGAAGAACGGCGGCCTCAGGAGGCGGGCGCACAGCAGAGGGCCGCGTGGGGCCTGGGGAGGTGCTGTGAGGGCAGATGTCCTGGCCAGGAGCTTGGGCACAAGACCCCAGAAGGAGCTGGCCACAGCGAGATGGGGAGGGGACAGCAGTTGACCTTAGCTGTCAGGGGACCTGGCTTTCAGTCCTGGGCATGGGAGGGGCAGGACTGGCTGAGTCCACTGGGTGTCCCGGCAGGGCTGCCTCATGCCCGTAGGGCAATGCTGAGCCTGTCCAGAGCCCGGGGCCCAGTCTCTGCCCATGCCGGATTCACAGCCTGGATGTGTCCTAGTCTCTCCGTGTCCTCGTCCCCGGCTGACGGGTGGGGCAGCAGAACAGTTGACAGATCACCCAGCACTGGGCAAGCACAGGTGGGGGGCTCAGCCCTCACACCCCCAGGCCACCTGGGCCCCAGGCGAGCCCTGAAGGGCCTCTTTGTGCAGTGGCCATCCTGTGTGTCCTTGGCAGCACTCGGGGTTTGAAACCCATTCTGCCCGGTCCTGGGGTGGGCGTAGCCAGAGTGGGCCTTGGGGATACAGTCCTCTCACCTGGCCAAGGACAACCTCTGTGTCCAGCCCAGAACTCCTGGGTGTCTTGGGGACTCAGGACCCCCACATCTCAGAGCCACGAACGGACAGGGGTGGGGTGCTCACTGGGGACCATGTGTTCTCCGCAGCCAAGTCCCAGGGCTGTGGGGTCACACCCTGAAAGCCATGCTCCCCTCACACGTGTGTGGGCACCTGCACCTGAGTGGACGCATTCATGCTCAAGCACAGGTTAACCTGCTGGTGCGCGACAGCCTCTTACACGGGGTACGTGTGCACCCACACAGCACGGCTGCCCACCCGCCGGGAGGGAGGATGAGCTGGTGTGTGGGGGCAGGTGGGTCGCCGGGTCCGGAGCCACCAAGATCCCAGTGCCGGGGGCTGGGCGCTGCTCCCGTGCAGGAGGCCTGGCTGCCGCCCCAGACGGCACATTCCTCAAGTCTTCCCTGTGCCTCTGGGCACTGACTTGTCCACTGAGGAGGTCAAGTGACCTCAGAACGTGGATATTCCCAGGAGCCCTCGGGAGGGTGTTCTCACAGCAGAGGCACTGACAACACTTCCTGGAGGCAGCGTGTGACCCCGAGTCACGATCCCCTTGGGAACCAGAACCCTGTCACGCACAAGCTGGGCCTGGCCCACAAGGTGGCTCCCCACACTGAGCCCCCAGCCCCCTTTCTGGGTCCCCACCACCTCTCTGAGCACCCCCTCCCCTGGCCGTGAGCTGGATTCTCCGGTAGGCTTCCCACTGTCGGAACAGCGGCAACATGGCTGCGAGGGGCGCAAGCCCCAGCCTCAGCCCCCACATCCTCCGTCCAGACCCCCTGCCTTAGCCCCAGGCCTTTGCATAGGCTGCTCCTGGGGCTTGCCGGGGTCCCACACTGACTGGCGGGAGCCATTACCCCTTTGCCCAGGAAGATTTCCGGACCCCCTGGCTGTGCCGGGGGCTTCCGTGGGCTTCAGTGCCCCTGCCCCCCGTGTGTAACTGAGGGCGCCCCTGGCAGACACTCACCCGAAACAAGTCCTGTGGCCGGCCTGACCCCTGACTCACCCTCACCCCGCCTCCACCCCTTGGGGGTGCCCAGCCCTGACCTCTCGCCCAGCTCCCTAACCCAGGGCAGGGAGTTCCCTCGCGTGGCGGACATTGGGGTGGCACACGCGTGTAAGCAGGCTGTGTGGAGGAGGTGGGGGGTGACAAGCTGGGCTGAGACTGGGCTGCTCCTTGGAGGGGCCCTTCTGGGAGGCCCACCTGAGCACTCAGGTGCCACTGGGGCCTTAAATAGGGTTAGTGAGCGGATCTGTTTCTGGAATGGCTGCCCCAGCATCCCAGGGGCTGCCAGGGGGAGGTTTTACCCAGGACTCCGGCACCCCAGACCTGCCCAGGCTGTGGAAACCCACGCTGACCCCCCAGCCTCACCCCAGGCTCTGATCTCTCACCTCTGACTTCCTGCCCTCCGCTGCCCAGCCTGCCAGGGCGAGGACGGGAGGCCAGCCAGTCCCGAAGGCCCCAGGCCACGCCCCCGGCCTATATGACTTCGAGTATATAAATACACCTGCCGAAAGCTGACACCCAGAGAACTCACACCTGCTCCGGACAGTGCTCTGCATTTGGAAGAGCGCACGCATCCCCCCGAGCCCCGCTTGCCTGGGACAGAGCAGAGGGCACGCCTGCCAGACCAGTGCCCCCAGGAAGGACAGCTGCTGGTAGCCAGCCCCGTGGAGGGACACCTGCCAGGTGGAGCACAGGTGGGCCCAGCCCAGAGAAGAGGGAGCGAACACAGCTGGACAGGAGAGCTCGGAGCCTCACAGCCTGGTGGTGGCTAGCCAAGAGGACCATGCTCAGGCCTTGCTGACGACCCCCGGCCACCAGGTAAGGCCAGCTCAGGCACTCCCCTCTCACTTGTACAGGCTCAGGGTGGGGTGCCTCTGAGGAGGGCTGGGACCTCAGTGCCAAGGGACTGATGGTGTGGGGCATACGGGCCCAGAGGAGGCTAGCCTGTGGTCCCCCCCAGACTATGCTGAGGCTGCTGCCTAGCCTGCGGTCACCATTGTCCCCAAATGTGGTGACATCTCATGTTGCAATGCTGGGAGCACCCGTGACATCACAGTGATGTCACTGTGACTCACGGTGGTCAGAGTCATCATGCAGCAACACCCAAACCTTCACGACACATCACCACAAAGTCATTGCACTCGCCCACCGGGACTAACCAGCAAGATAGGGTCAGGGTCACCTCTGGGGGGTCCTTCTGGGCTCCATGGGGTCTGTCCACTGTCCTCCTTACCTGTCCTCCCCCAGGCGAGACCCATGTGGCAGGGCAGAGGGCAGGGCCGGACAGGGCCCTGGTCAGCAGGCAGGTCCCGTGAGCCTTGCCAGGGAGGCAGAGGCAGGGTCTCCTCTGGAAATGGGCGTGGGTCGGGAGGACGGCAGCTGTGTGCTTGTGTGACCCTGCAGGGTGGTGGTCGTCCCAGAGGATGGCTGGGGCTCCTCAGGCTGAGGTGCACTTCTAGGTCCTGAGGGCCAGCTGCAAGCCCGCATCACCAGCCAGACAAGCTGGCCCTACCGGTTCGGGCGAGGCTGGGAAACAAAGCCTCCTTGGGACACCGGCCCCCACCCCTGTTCAGGCCCTCCTCGACTTCCCGCAGCCTGCCAGCTCACCCTGGCCCCAGACAGAGTCCTGACCCTCATCCAGCCGGGCCTGGCACCCCACCCTCATTCAGCTGCCTGAAAACTGGGTGTGTACCCACCACATCAGGTGCCCATGCTGGGATCCATGTCCAAACCCACTTCACCCGACCCAGAGTCACACTCCTCCAGGGAGAGCCCAGGTCCTGCTGATCTCTTGGCCAGGTGACCCCAGCTGGTCACCCCACCCTCTGAGCTGTGCCTTTTTTGTGCTGTGGCTCTTGTGTGTCCCATGACCTGGGCCCAGCCTGGCAGAGCCCGGACGTCAATAGCAACTATTGTGGGCTGTTGTCGTCGACTTTATTTATGCCCAGGTGGCACAGCCGGGTAGGACAGGCCCAGCGGGAGGTGTCCACTGAACGGTCAGCACGACACCCTGGTGCACATGGCCTCCGTTCTTAGACCCTCCTTAGAGCACCCCTGGGATGCTCACCCCTGTCTTGGCATGTGAGGAGGTGGGGGGGGCAAGCTTACAACTTGAACAGAAAGACCTTGATTCTGGTATAGATAGGACTTTCCCGAGGTGCCCACAGGTGGGCAGTGTCCTTCCAGAGATCTTTGGGGCTGGTGCTGCGCAAAAGAGACACGGGGTGAGAACAGCAGACTGTGCAGAAAAGGGGCAGCCTGCGGTCACTCACAGGGCTCTCCATTTGTCCCACAGCTCAGAGTCATGTCATCAGGCCAGCAGGTGTGGCATACAGCCACGCCGGCCCCCGGTCGGCCCAGCCCTACAGCCACGGTGCCCAGGTCCCCCAGCACCCCCGGCTCAGAGAAGGTGGCCTCCCCACTGGAGTGCTCCATCTGCTTCTCAGGCTACGACAACATCTTCAAGACGCCCAAGGAGCTCTCCTGCACACACGTCTTCTGCCTGGAGTGCCTGGCACGGCTGGCGGCTGCCCAGCCAACAGGCCGGCCCGGCAGCGAGGCTGTGCCCTGCCCGTTCTGCCGGAAGCCCACGGCTGTGCCGGCTGCAGGGGCCCCCGCCCTGCGCACCAGCCGCCAGCTGCAGGCCAGGATGCCGGCACACCTGCGTCGGGAGGAGCCCGTGTGGCTGGAGGGCACTAAGCTGTGCTGCCACCCGCCGCCCTCCACACCCGGCCTTCCAGCGCCTGGCTTCGTGTGTGTGGATGTGGGCCTGAGCAAGCCTGCGGAGCCCACTGCACCCACACCCACCCCGCGCCCTGCCCGCCGCCGGGGCCGTCTGGCCCGCTGCTGGGCGCGCTGCGGGGACTGGAGGCGCGTGGCGCTGGTCACGGCCCTGCTACTGGTGCTCTCCTGTGTGGTGCTCTGGCCTGTGCAGTGCGCGCTCAAGACTGGGAACCTGCACTGTGTCCCCCCGCCCTCCGCCACCATCACCAGCGCCGCTGCCTTCTCTCCTGGGCCCTTAGCCGACCGCTAGGCTCAGTCACCCCTGCCCCAGCTCCAGGTGTGGGTCCCTGGCCCACAGTTTGGGTCACAGGTGTGGCAGAGGGGCCCCAACATCTCTGAGGACCCCATATACCCATTCAGCTCGCCTTCCCCCTACTCTGGGGGGCTGGATCCTGATGGCACGGACGGAAGGGTCCCTGAAGCTTCCAAGAATCACAGGCTCCTATGGGTCCCAGAGACCACCTCCCTAACCCCCCATCACGGAGAGACAGCCTTGATGAGGCCCCCTCTGTATTCACTGTGAATTACCTGCATTAGCAGCCCTTTGCTGAGAAGGGATGGCACTCACCATCTTTATTTTATTTTCACATTTCACCCATGGCTCCTTCCCCAGGCCCCTTCCCCAGGCCCCTTCCCCAGGCAGGGCTGGCCCCTTCCATTGGGTCGGGGTGCTAATCCTGCCCTCTGACTAAGGGGACAAAGGGCAGCAGCAGGAGGCCCAGTCCTCCAGTGCCCATCCTGAGCTGCACATTTTAAAATAAATTATTTTGTATCCACATTTGGTAAGGGGTCCTCTCCCCGTGTGCCCTCCTCCCCACGCCACTGAGCCTCTCCCTCCTGAAAAGCCATGGTCTGCCCCTGTCTCACTCCCACTGGATTGAAATCCCAGCAGCCTCTAGGGCAGATAGCCCCCAGGTTCTAGGGTGTCCAACTCCTGTTCCCTGTGGGCTGTGGATAGGCTGGAGCAGTCCTGCGCCCTCCCCCAGGAAGATGGGGAGGGCAGCTGGAAGCAGGGTGGGGTGGGCAGGAAGGGGTGGGGCCTTGGCACGGTCTAGACCCCTCCTCCAACACGCCCCAGCTGGACCTCCCAAGAAGTCATGACTCCACAGCCCTGCTGAGAGTCCTGACAAGAGGGCCACAGAACCCCAGGACTGACTCTCTGCGAACCCAGGCCTCTGGACGCACAGAAGCAGAAGTGGTGACAGCCAGTGTGTCCTGAAGATCCTGAAGACCTCTAGCAGATCCTCCCGGGGCCAAGTGCAGCGGCTCGAGGGATGGGCAGGAGTCCTGCCAACCCCCACTGGCTTCTGCTATCGAGCCCAGGAATCTTGCACCACCAGTTAGCATGGTGAAGAGAGGCCAGGCTGGTTCTGGCTCCCCAGACTCCTCACCCCTCACCTCGAGGTGGGTGGGATGGCTGGGCCTCTGGCTGGGCTGGGATGGGGAGGGTGCTCAGGGAGACCCTTGGGAAGCTGGGCCCCAGACCCCAACAAAGACACAGAACTGAGAACGAGTCATTTTATTGAGGGTACCACAAAGCCACAGGGCCATCCGCGATGGGAGGGGCACAGACTACATGCCAGTGACGGAACACCCGTCACACACCAGTCATGCACACACGTGAGCCTCACCCAGGCACATGGGGTCGCACACGTGCTCGCAGGAGCATCTCACATGCACCTGCCCTGTGGGCAGCTCCAAAGCAGGGGTGGGTGCCTAGGATGGGGGTGGGGCAGGCAAACACTGATGGTGGCTACAGTCAGGTCAAGCACAGACAGGCCACTCATGACATACGTGGTCACTGTGTTGTGCAGGCCATGACTGGTGGCCTCCCATACCGAGAGACAAACCACAGCCCTGAAGCCCTGCCTTCCCGCTCCTCCCTCACCTGGGAGCCCCAGAAGGGGCAGGGACACTCGGGTCTCCCGACTGCCCCTCCCCATTTCTAGGCGTCCAGGCCAGGTCAGGAGGGACCCCTCCCCCGGCACTCCGGGACAAGCTCCAGCCTGTATGTCCTAAACACAGTCCTGAGGAATGCCACGGCCCGCCTTTCGGGCTCCCAGCCTCCACTGTGGCTCCGGCCCCACCCGGGGCGCGCGCACGCGGAGCCCCCGCACTGCGCGGGGTCCCTCACTGCGCGAGGCCCCGCAGGTTCTCGTACTCGCCGCCGGAGGCCTCCGGGGTCCTGCGGGCGGAGACAGGGTTAGGCGGGCGCCCACGCGGGATCCCGCCCCATACGCTGCCCGCTCCCGAAGGGGACCCCGGCCCGGTCCCGCTCCCCGACGACCCTACTCACGCCGTCGGCGCCCGAGACGACAAGGGTCCAGCGTTGCGGCCGGGGTCCGCCGGCCCGATGCCCACGTCCAGATAGTCGCGCTCCTCCCGCGGCTCGCGCTGGGAGGAGGAGGACCTGTCGGTCACCATGTGGCGTCCGCGCGAGCCCCCGCCCCAGCCCGGCCCCGCCCCCACCTGCTGGCGCAGACGCAGCTGCTCGCCCTGGATGTACCGCTGCAGGGCCAGGTACACGAACTTGTACTGCGCCTCGGTCTGCACCATCCCCGAGCGCTGCCGCCGCACCAGCTGGATCGTCTTGGGAACGTCGATGTCGCAGTCCAGACCTGGGCACGAGCGCGCTCAGGGCCGGGCGGGGGCGGGGGCCGGGGCTAGACAGGAGGGGCGGGGCCGGCAGGGAGGGGCCGGGGAGGCTCACCCTGCCGGCGGATGAGGTCCACCAGGATGTCAATCACGATGATCGTGCCAGTGCGTCCGATGCCGGCGCTGTGGGGACCGACCAGGAGGCCTGTGGCGAGGTTAGGCGAGGAGGCCGTGGCCCTGCCCGGGATTGCACCTGCACTGCTCGCCCACCCCGTCCCCGATCGCACCTGCAGTGCACCACCATGGGTCCGGCCCCCGGCATGCTGCTCTGGGCCCTGTTCACCTCCTCCAGGAAGCCGAGGACGCCGGAGGGCTCGGCCGGGACCCCGTGGTCTGGCCAGCTGAAGTACTGGTAGTGCTTCACTGTGCGCGGTGGCTCCTCCTGGGCAGGGTGGGCTGGTGAGCGTGAGCCGGACCAGTCTGGGCAGTTCCCAGGTGGGGCCAGGCCGCAGGGTCACAGTGGAGCTGCTGTGAGCCCCACGGTAAGAGGGGCCGGGGGCATGAACCGGGAGGAGACAGGCAGAGTTTGCCAGAAGTTGTGACCGGCAGGGTCAAGGCCGAGAAGGGGATGGGAGGGAAATACGGGATTCAGAGCTTGGGGGCTCTCAGATAGCCCCAGGTGGCTCAGACCCCGGGGGAAAGGAAGAGGGAGCAATGGGGTGAGGGGGCAGGTTTCAGGGACAATGGCCTCTATTTGGGAAGATTCAAGTGTGAGGGCCCTGCAGGGCCCCCCAGGTGCTGAGACATAAGAGACAGGGTGGGGGTGAGGGGCATGGGAAGGAATCTGTTCCTGCCACAGAAATAGGTACCACTGGCCTACGAGGGACCTTGAATCTGCTGAGGTGGCCCAGGGAGAGACTAGGGAAGGAGAGGCCATGTGGGTGTGAGGCCACCCTGGAGTCAGGCAGCTGGGACCTGGGGCCTGGGGTTGAGAATGTGACCTGCCTGTGAGCACGGCCCAGCAGAGCCCAGGCCGGGACTGTGCCCACTGAGTTAAGGGACATGAATACCACTGAGGCCAATGGGATTGGGTGGAGCCACGAGGCAGGGGGCAGCACAGGGCTTCCTCACCCCCAGCACAGACCTGGGGACTTCCTGACTACTGTGACTCTGGCCCTCCATGTCTTGTGGCCCTCTGGGCTCACCTGATCTGGCCGCCACACCTGCAGTTCCCGCACACAGTAGCCCTGGGCCTGGTACTCAGCCAAGTTGCAAATAAGTACACGGCCATATTCTTGGCTGCCATGTAGCTCTGGCCAGTACCGGAAACATTTGTTCTGGGAGGGAGGGTGCATTGCATCAGCTGTGCTGGAAGACCACCAGCACCCTTGCCCCGTGGGGACTCACACATGCACATGCATACACAGGGGCTTTCCAGAGTCCCCCCACCCCACAACACACACACACACACACTTCCCCCCCTAGCATCCCGAAGGCTGAAGAAAAAGCAAGGCTGGGCCAGCCACCAGCACAAATCCACATGAGCACATGGTGGGGAGGGGGCTGTCAAGCCCAAGCTCCTACCCGGCCTCGCTCCACCTCTCTTGTGGCCATGACAATGACCCGCGTGTTCTCTTGGTGCACCATCGCCCAGAAGGCAGCTACTGTGGTTTGCAGACAGCCCTGGGTGGCGATGTACACCTTGCCCAGTCCATGACCTGGGTTCTCCTCTGGATCACTCTGTAAGGGGGTGGGGGCCGGGGGTCCATTGTTTCCAGGATTTAAAATGCCAGAGGACAATGCAAGTCTATGCAGATGACGTACAACGTAGCACCAGGTGGCTCACAAACAAATGATGTGCAAAGCAGCACCAGGTGGCTCACACACAGCCCTTCCTGCCCTAGGCTAGGGAGGAGCTTAGGACCAATATTTAGTGCAGCCCACTCTGAGGGCTCCTTGGAAACCTCCACAGCCCCTCTCCCCCAACAATGTGTACTGTCCTGCCAGGGCCCATGGATCATTGGGGCACCTGGATCTTCCTGGGCCTGCCAGCAGGAGCTCCAAGTTCATAATGGGGGATAGGGTGACCGGTGTGTGGCCAGGCTCGAGGTGTCCATGCTAGGCTACACAAGCAGCTGACCACACCCGTCTCTCACACACCCACCCTGATATAGTTGGCGTTGATGTAGTTGGCACCAGGCACACTGTCGTCCACATCATGCAGAGTGACACGGGTGGTATCAACTGGGAAGGGAAGATGCTGCTCAGGTCTCGAGGGGAGAGGGAGGAAAAAATGGACCTCACCCGTCTCCTTGCCCGCAGACCCCATGGTGGGCAAGATGAGGGAGGAAGGGGCCCTGCATGCGCAAAAGGGGAAGTCACCCCAGTGGTGGGACACAGCACCCTGCCTCAACCTCCACAGGCCCCTCCTTGCCAGATGGGCCCCCACATGTAGCGGATGGAGCCCTGGCTCCCCAACACGGCCCCCCCGCCTGGCCCTCACAGGGAAGGATGTTCTTGTAGCGATTCTTGGGCTTGTTCTCCAACCGCTGCCCCTCCTTCCGTGGATACAGGAGCCGACATTCCTGCTGCTGCAGCATCTGGTTGGGGGTGGGGAGCTTCAGCCTGTTGTCCCACACTTTCCCAGAGCCTTCAGTGACCATCCTACCTCCCCTAAACCTCACCCCTCTGCTGGGCCTCGCGCAAGCCCCTAAGGACGGGAGTCTGTGGGAGAGTGAACAGTGGCGAGGGGGGCGGGCACCTCGAATTCTTCCCAGAAGCCCTGCTTGGCCTTCTCGCTGGCTTCAGTGGCCCTGCTGAGCTCCTGGACTCGGCTCTCGATGCTTGCGGCATTGATCCTCGTGGCCTTGAGGGGCTGGCCGGGAGAGGTCTGCGTCCACACTTGACAGGGTCCAGCAGACCCCGCGGTGCCTTCCCCCGGGGGGTTTCCCTAGGCCACCCCACCCCAGCACTGCCTAGCCCCTTTTCCCTGGGTCCCGATGTCCCTTGGGCCGTCCCCACCCCAGGGGCGAAGCTCACTCTGGATCCCAAGGGTCACATGCCTCCAGGCATACCTGCTTGAGATGCACCACAATCCCTGACTTCTCCACCATGGGGTTCTTCTTGTAGTGCTCCACCAGGTCTGTGAGGGTGTCGAACTGCTCCCCACCTCCCACGTCATACTTCCCATCCGGCTGTGGGGGCCACAGTGAGGCGCCTGGCCACTGCCTGCCTCCCCTGAGTCACACCCTACCCCTGCTGCCACCTCCCACCTGGAAGTGGATCATGACGTGTGTGACCCGCGGCCGGCGGTCCTCCTTGTCTGGCTGCTGTGTGAGCACAGACAGAACCAAGTCCCCCGGTTTGCTCTGACTCTCCCGCACCAGGAAGGTACCCGGACGTCCTTTTTCCATCAGCAGCTGCTCGGCCTCCTTGCCAGACAGGTGCCCATGGTACCACCTGGCCCAGCGTGGTGGGGGTGGGGTGGGGGAGCCCAGGTGAGCCTGGGGGCCATGGCCTGGCCAGGTGAGGGGACACAAACCCACATGCAGCCAGAAGGCTCCAAGACAAGACACAGACACAGAGAGAAACAGACGGACGCACCCAGATCTCAAGGGCCCGGGCAGTGCCCTCACCCAGGCCAGCCTCAGTCTGCCCTGCCCGACTCTCTGACTCTCCCCCTGCCCAGGAGCGGGCAAGCTGGAAGCAAGACAGGCGGGCCCCGCAGGGCCGAGGGTGGCCACCAGGTGGCAGTCTGATCCCCAGCAAGGAGGGACAGGGCCCCCTTCTCAGACAAGCCCCACAACCCCTCCCTGGCCGATGCAGCTTTTTCGGGTCTCAGCAGTGCAGGCAGGGAAACTGAGGCTGGAGAAAACTGCTCACCGGAGTCACCAGGCAGGAGGGTAGGTATAAGGCTGGCTGCAGGGCTCCTGCTGCACACTTTCACCCTTGGGGCCAGTGCCCCAGACCTAGAGGAAATGAGGCCCCAAGCCCCGGGTAGGGGGCATGCAGGACACTCCCTCAACCTTGCTGCAGCTGTGCCCAAGCCTGACCCTGAGCCACGGACCCTGGCATGCACATGGTCACACACATGCAGGCGTCTGCAGCTCACCGCTCAGATACGGGGTCCTGGCAGCCCAGCGGGTGCCGGAGCTCAACCGGGGCCCCGCTGCGCTCGCGGAGCAGCGCCGCCTGCTGGCCCGTGTAGTGCTGCACCAGCTCGGCGAGCGTTGCGAACTTCTCCCCTCCGTAGAGATCGTAGTAGTCGCCTGTGTTTTGGATCTTGATGTGGGTCACCTCATCGTGGCGCCTGGAAGGCAGGTGCACCAGGCACTGTTGTGTGTGTGTGGGGGGGCTGCTCCCACCAACCCCTTCTTCCCATCACCACCGTCAGTTTCCAGAACAGTCCCAGAGCTTTTCCTGCCCTGATGTCTCTGCCTCTGCCCTTCCCCTGCCAAGAACAGCCAAGGCCCTTCCCCATCAGCCAGTGTGAGAGCCCCACCCTGGGCGATGGGCATCCCACCCCCACTGCTCCCCCTGTGAAGTCAGGACTGGACTTGCAGACCACAGGCCTGACTCTCCATTGGCCTGGAGGCGGACGCCGAAGCAGCCCTCCATGATGGGCTCCGCCTCACCCCAGACGGCCTGCCTGGGAGCTCCTGACGACCAGCAACAGGGCCCTCAAGATAGCCTCCCCAGGCCTCACAGCATGGGAAGCTATCAGGAAAGCCCCAGGGGAGGACCTCAGCCTCTCCAATGTGAGAGAAGTCCATCCTGAGAGCTAACCTCAGTCCCACCTGCTGCCTCAGCTTTAGCAGAGAGACTGGAAAGATCTAGAGACCTTTTGAAAGCCCGCTCCCCAGATCACCACTCTTTCTCACAGGCTGACCCCTTCCCATCTAGGGCCGACACAGATCTGGCTGTCTACTCTGCTGGTTGCAGCCCTTCCCCATTCCTCCTCCCCACACAATGGCCCTGTCATGCCCTCGGGCCAGACCCCCCAGTGGGCAGCATCCCCAGGAGATGGGATCCTAATGACAGCCATTGAGGCCCCCTGTCCACCACACCAGACTCCTCAGAGGGCAGGAGGGAGGTCCTGCCAACTCCCTACCTCACTGAGCCCTTCTAAATGATTCCCTCCTGTCCAGAAGCCACTTGGTCAGGAATGCCAGATTTCCACCCACCCTTGCCAACCTGTTGGCTCCCCACTCCTCACAAAACCCAGATTCTTAGATGTCCAGCCCCCAGCGGGGATCCTCACTTCCCAATGTCCTACACCCTTCTGGGAAGACGGAGAAGACCGATCCCCACCTGTCCCCCAGCCTAGGGTGGAGCCTCAGGCCTGTCCACACCTGGCCGCAGCACCCACCCCCCCTTCACCCACCTGACAGACAGTGTGAAGCCCCCTGGGCAGCTCTTGCTGGGTCTTGCCAGGAAGCTCCCATGCTGGCCCCTGGACAGGAGCAGCTTCTCGGCCTCAGCTCCGCTCATGTTGGGGTGAAACCATCTGGAACGAGGACCACAAGCTGGCAATCCCAGAGAGCTGGGGTGACACGGAGCATACTCTGGGCTCCCCGCCCCCCGAAGTCCTGGCCCACACCCAACCTCCACCGATGGGGCCTGTGGTGGGCCCCATGCTTACAACCTGCCATGGGCAGTGACCACTGGGTCTGAGGTCTGTGGGGAAGGAGGTGGGGCTATAAGGTCCCAGGGACACAGATGAACAGAAACTTTCCTGCCGCTGGGGGGGTGGGTGGGGGTGAGTGGGACAGACAGCCTCCAGCACCCCCACACAGCCACCATCAGGAACCTCACCTCACACTCTGTGCCTGGTCCCTCTGGCCCTGCATCGCGGGGCATCGCAGCTTGGCCAAAAGTCCTCGGGTGCCCTACTGTCACCCAGGGCCTCCTTCCTGCCCGCAGAGCCCCGTCAGCAGACCCCGTTCTACCCCTCCTGGTGTGGTGTTGGCCACCACCTCCTCTCGTGGGGCATGTGCCGCGAGCCCAGGGACTGCCCCGCCCCCATGACGTGTCAGTCACTTAGCCCTCCCAGAGCAAGAGCACATCTTCAGGTTCAGCTCTCCGCCCCACCTGGACCCCTCCCCACGACCCTGGCTCCTCCGTTCAGCTCTCCGCCCCACCTGGACTGCTCCCCCAGCCCTGGCCCCACGGTTCAGCTCCCCGCCCCACCTGGACCCCTCTCCCCGGCCCTGGCTCCGCGGTTCAGCTCTCCGCCCCACCTGGACCCCTCCCCCCGGCCCTGGCTCCACGGTTCAGCTCCCCGCCCCACCTGGACCCCTCCCCCCGGCCCTGGCTCCACGGTCCAGCTCTCCGCCCCACCTGGACCCCTCTCCCCGGCCCTGGCTCCACGGTTCAGCTCTCCGCCCCACCTGGACCCCTCCCCCCGGCCCTGGCTCCACGGTCCAGCTCCCCGCCCCACCTGGACCACTCTCCCCGGCCCGGGCTCCACGGTCCAGCTCCCCGCCCCACCTGGACCACTCCCCCGGCCCTGGCTCCTCCGTTCAGCTCCCCGCCCCACCTGGACCCCTCCCCCCGGCCCTGGCTCCTCCGTTCAGCTCCCCGCCCCACCTGGACTGCTCCCCCGGCCCTGGCTCCTCCGTTCAGCTCCCCGCCCCACCTGGACCACTCCCCCCGGCCCTGGCTCCTCCGTTCAGCTCCCCGCCCCACCTGGACTGCTCCCCCGGCCCGGGCTCCACACCCACATGAGCTCACTCGCCACAGAGCCGTCGCACGGGCTGAGCTCTGCCCCTGGCCCACACTCGTGCGGCTGGGAGACACCTTGCTCTTCTCATTCTTTATCCCTTATTCGGCTTTATTTTTCTTCATAGTATTTGCCTCCTTGGCATATATGATATAAGCTTACTGTCTATCTCCCACTCAAGGATTTAAGTTCCAAAGGGCAGAACCTGTTCTGTGTAACGCAGTATCCCAGGGACGAAAACAGTGCCTGGGTATTAGTTAAGAAGTGGATGAATGAGGGGGCACCTGGGCGGCTCAGTTGGTTAAGCTTCTCATTCTGGATTTCGGCTCAGGTCATGATCTCAGGTTTGTGAGACTGAGCCCAGCGTTGGGCTTGGTCCTCAGTGCGGAGTCCGCTTGAGATTTTTCTCTCTCCCTCTGCCCCTCCCCCCACTTGTGCTCACGCTCTCTAAAATAAATACAAAAAATCTTTAAAAAAAAAAAGAAGAAGAAGAAGCGGATGAATAAGTAAATGGATGGTGGGGGTACAGGTGGATGGATGGGCTGCCCCTGAGGGGACGGCCAGGGTGGCTGGCAGGTTCTGCCAACTGTAGGGCTCGATACAGGCTGATCCTATTGCTGAAGGACTAGAGGGGGGGCTGCAAGCTAAGAGGGACTGCAACCCTGCCTCTGTCCCCAGCCTCGCCTCCCTGGGACTGTCCTTCTTCACAGCCTCCCCCATGAGGTGGGGGACAGCCCCAGGTTCCCAGAGGGACTGGCCAGGAGGGCCCTCACTCAGGGCTGTGCATGAGCCCATGTGCAAGATCATAACTGCTGGGTTCTTTCCCCTGGTAGCTTTTGCTTCCTCTATTAGGGCAGGAATTTCTGGCCCAGGTTTAAATCTGACCCAAGAGATAGGAGGAAGGATGATCCTGCCCTGTGGAGCTCTTTCTAGACTGGGAATCAGATCACGTGTCTAACGCCACCCTGGACGCTTCTCCCTCCAGGTCCTTCTCTCCCTTCAGGCCTGCTTTTGCCCCAGGCCTTCAGCCTGTCCTTCCTCCTCCAAGGACCATCTGTGCTCGTAGTCTATACCTGCATGCCCAGCACAGCAGCCTATAACATGTGTGAAATGTGAATGTAAATGAATTAATATTCAACAAAATCAAAGCCCAGTTCCTTGGCCACACTGCCATGTTTTACTGCTGAGAGCCATGTGAGGCTAGCAGACTGCTGACAGTGCAGGTAGGAAACATTTCCATCACCACGGAAAGTTCTGGTCTGCACTGGCCTACGCTGCCCATCCTTGCCTGAGTCCTCACAGATCTGTTTCCCTCTGCCCTCCAGACCTCTGCTCTCAGGGTCTCCGGGGCCTGTGGCCAGGCCTTGCTCTTCAGCAGCATCTGACTGACCCATGCCTCCACTCGGCCCTTCTCCAGAATTCCACACTCCCCTGCTTTTCTGCCTCACCTGGTCAGGATCCTTTGCTGGGCCCTCCTCTTTCTGACCTCTCAATGTCAGAGCTCCTCACCTGTGCTGGCCATGTGTCTTCACGGCCATGTGCCTTTTACACCTCTAGCCTCACCTGGGATCTGAGCTTCAAACTCACAGATACTTCTCTTCTTGGCATCTCCATTTGGAAAGGTAACAACATTTCTATCTTAACATTTGCAAAATTTAGAACTGCTGGACACACTCCGAAAGCCCTGCTCTTTTACCTGGTCCCCACCCCGTGAAGGGGGCCAATGCTCAGGCATAGCTCAGGTCATCAGCCTGCAGCCCCTCGGTGCTCTCTTTTCCAGCAACCTCGGGTCCTACCTTCCAAATGCACCCAGAACCAACCCCTTTTGCTGGGCATGGCTCATATTTCCTGCATTTCCCAGCAATCCCACTGCTGCCCCTACCGTGTTAACAGCCCAGAGACACACACACACTTTTGTGTTTGTCACCCCGGGTCTTCACTGAGGGCAGGCTCGGATCTGACCCTGATGGCTCCCCACGGTCCATGCGTTGGTCCAGAGAGGCCTGGAAGCTCAGATGACCTCCCCGGGGCCACCCAGCCTGAGCAACTTGCCTGCTCACACTTTCCCTGGGGGAGTCGGGGTTACCGTCATCCGGGCCCTTCCTGGGCGTGTTCTGAGCCTAGTGTTTTGAGCCCTCTCCCATGCTGGCTTGTAGGGGAGCCAGACCTGGGGGCAGTTTTTGGTCAAGTGGTCCAGCAGGTAAGGCTGCCAGTTTCCTAGAGGAGGAGATGCCACATGGTAACCTCCAGAGCCAATCACAGGCGAGTAGGCAAGGCCACCAGGAACAGGGCAATGGCTTCATGCTGTCCTTGGACCCATGATGAGACAGTGTGGGGCAGGGGCGGGGATGGGACCCAGAAGGAAGCTTCCAACTCCGCCTCCACCACGGGCCACCTACTCTGCTGAACCACATCCTGTGCCCAGATGCCCCTTCCCCGCCCCCCAGCCACAGTAGCCTCAGATTCCAGTTCAAGATGGGCAATGCCCAGAGTGCAGGGGCAGGGGTGGAGGGTGGAGGCATAGAATCAAAGCCACGGAGAGGGGTGGAGGGCACCTTGTCCTTTCAGGGACACTCTCAATCATACTTTCCACCCCCCTCTCCTCCCCACAAACTGCCACCGGGTCTACCAGGTGGAAGTCTGCAGGGGTGGGGCATCCTGAGAGGTTGCAGCCCCTCACACCACCACCCTCCGGAATCCCGGGCTGACGCAGGGCCTCACATCCCCCAGCCCAGGCCTGAGGTGGAGCTGAGAGCCCAGCAGGCCAGTGAGGCTTGCTGCCCCTGGCTGAGGGGGTGGGGGGAGGTAGGGAGGCTACAGGTCCCCATCTCCAACCCCCACACCCCTCTGTGCCAAAGAGCTCCCTGCTCTGTGATGGGTCAATGACTCAGCTCTGCCTTGGCGACATGGCCGTGCAGTCCCAGGGAAGGAAGACAGGTAGGGTGAACAGGGCATACTGGGCCCCCAACAGGTCTCATGGCCTCGGCCCTTCGAGGCCCAACTGAACCCAGTCAGTGCTCAGGAGCCCAGGGACAGCCCACCTAACCAATCAGCCTGAACCCATACTGGCCACTGGCTGGCCCAGCTCCCTGTGTGGCCTTGCTCCAACCCTGGAACCTGGGAGTCAACACACCTACACCCGTGATACAGGGGCTGGAGACTCCTGCAGGGCAGACGCTGTTGTGATGGTGGGGAATCCACAGGCCAGTGGAGAAGGGTTCCTGGTTGGAAGTCCAGGCCTGAAGACCCCAGAGCATAGGCAGTGTCCTTCTCCATCTCCCTGCCCCCAGGCCCCAGGCCCTGACCCTTCTGGCCCAAGAAGAAGCTAAACCAAGGGCCACCTGTCTATATAGAACCAAATTAACCAGAGATACACTGTCCTCTCCAACCCCTGGAATAGAGGGGGAGCCTGAGGGGGCTCTGCATGCCCACCACCCCACCATGGGACCCAGCCCCCTCCCAGGCATCAATATCAACGCACCTACAGCCAGCCCTGCCCCACAGTGCCGCAGGCCCCTGGGAGACAGTGCCGATGGAAGTGCCCATTGACCCACAAGCCACAGGGCCACAGGAAGGGGACTTGGGGTGGGGATGGGCACAGGGGTGAACTTTACTGCCCAGGCCTCATAGGGGTGTAGGCCAGAGGAGTGACAGTCCAGATGGTCAGCACAGGGTGGGGCAGAGAGGGGTTGGCAAGGGCGGGCAGAGCCTCACCAGGGGCTTTCCCAGGCTGGAGCAAGGTCACGTGCACATGACACAGACACGGCCTTCTCTGAGGACCAGAACTTGCCTGGGGGACAATTAAGAGCGAAGCTGAGGGGAGTCTGAGGGGTCATCCAACCAAACCTCAAAACCACCTCCTCCCTGAATTTGGACTGTTATCGCAGATAAGTTCCTGAGATCCAACTGATTTCCACTATTCCTGAGCTAAGAGGGCCTGTGACCTTGACGGAGGCCACTCTCCCTAGTTGCTTCCTCAGTACATCCCTCCTAGGGATCCTGGGACCCTCATCACTGAGGTGTTGCTGGTGGGAGATGGGGGGAAGCAGGGGTCTCTGCCTGGGGCTAAGGACCTTGCTCCTTGGGTCCAGAGACACCCTGGGGACCCTGAAGATCAGACCTTGTCCAGCCCCTCACTGATCTAGAAAGTCACTCAGGGTCATAGCATGACCCCTCCTGTGAACTCCTGCCTCACCAAGCCCCCAGGGATATGTGTCTCACACCTGTATGACCCCCCCATGGACATCCACATGCATGCTACAGTCTGAGCTCACACGTGTGTGTGCTCATGCCCAGAGAGCAGGGGTCCAGCAGAAAGGGCAGGAAGGGCCCAGTTCCTGTCACACTTCCCATTTTCCCTCCCCATGGAGGCAGGAAGCTGGTTTGACCTGCAGCTGCCTAGGCTCTCACGTCCATACCAGGGAGCTTGTCCCCTAAACCCGGCCCTTAAGAGGGTCTGGAGGAAAGATGAGCTCATCTAGAGAGGGCTGGTCCTTGTAGTTAGGGTCAAGGGACCAAGACCAGAGCAGAGGAGACTAGACCCTGCCCTGAGGGGTCCTAGGGAAGCAAGAGTTACCCCGCACCTGGCAGAACACAAATCCAGTGGCCAGAAGGGAGCCTGGAGCAGGGCAAGGAGTCCAGGGGAGGGAGAGTGGGAGGGTCTGGCTTTGTCCTGACACCTGCTGCCCATTCTAGGCTCCAACCACTGCCACCCACCACCTGCAGGGCATATTCTGTTCCTTAGGGCTAGGGTACCTCTGACCTCCACCGTGGCACCTCCCTCCCCCATTAGAAAGATTCAACCGCCTGGGTGAGGCCCGGCCTGTGGGCCTGGGACCCCGGGCATCAGGCCCTAGCTGTGGAGAGAGGTCTGTGCCAGGAGGTCAGGCCTGGGGCCATGTCTCGGCGCTATCCGTCGGTGCCCATGGGGCCCGAAGCACATCTCCAGGGGTCGCGGAGTCCAGCCACCTAGCGGCCCTGGCTCACCTGCGTGAGGTCATGTCTGCTCCGCGCTGGGCGCTTGGCGGGTCCAGGCGGCCGCGCCCTCGGGCCGCTTCGAGAAGGCCCCGCCCCGAGGGCCCCGCCCACTCAGGGCCCCGCCCACTCAGGGCCCCGCCCACCCAGAGAGTTGTCCGGGAGCTTCCTTAAAGGCGCCGTGTCCACACGTCTCACCACCGCGTAGGAGAAGTTGCGATAAAAATAACAGTTTTCGAGGGCGCCAAACTTCAGAACCAAGAGATTCACGCGGGCGTCCCGGGCTCAGAGGGCGAGGGCGCGGGGCAGCCGGGACCGAGCGGCCCCCAGCCTGGCCGGCCGCCTCCGCACAGCGGCGCCCAAAGGTGATAAACGGCGCATCAGTCCCACCGCGCGCGTGTCCCAGAGCCCGCTGGCCTTTCCGCATTGCCTCCTTAATGGGAGGGGGGCGGCGAGGGGCTGCGCTCCCATCACGGGGAGGTGGGGGGATTCGGAGCTACAGGAGGAGACCCCTGGGGGAAGGAGGTGGGAGGATGTGTTGCGCTTGCGATGCGATGACCAGGTAACCACCTCTTACTCTTTCTACACTGGGGGTCTCCCTCCTTTCCGCCCCACCTCTGCCACCCACACTGGACAGTGCCCTCCCTTCCTAAATGATGCTGACCCCCCTTCAGCTTTGCTCCTGCTACAGCTGGCCCCCATCTGCTTGCTTCCTGCCCCCCACTGGCCAAACCACCTTTCATAGGCCAGTTTCTGGGGAGCAGCACCCTAATTCATCTGGGCTCTCAACCTTGAGACCCCTGGTTAGGAACTTCAGGGCCCTCCCCCATCCAACTTCTCTCTACCACCTTTCCAGGAGTGGTACACCAAGGCATGGAAACTTCTCCTGAAGCTTCCAACCCTGGAGCCCAGATCCCCACGCACCGCTGTGGAGAGTGGGTCCGTGCTGACTGACTGCCCTGCTTCCTTCCTCTCCCACTCACCCGGGTCACCTCACTAGCCACCTGTGGGTCCTGAGCCTCAGCAGCAATTGCCCTGAGAGCCCCCTCCTTCTGGAAGCATCAACTCCCAGACACTCCTGGCCCTCCTGGCCCCACTGGCCCACCTTCTCCCTGACCTCCTGGTGCGAGAGCCTCTCCTCCCCTCACTTGACTCCCATAGCAGCCCACTTGCTGTGCTCCCTTATGTTCAGCGTCCCCTCCGCCTGGTACTACATGGCTTCCTGGTCTCTGGTGAGTTGGCTCTCAGCTCCTCAAGCCCAGCCCCTCCAGATGCATCAGGGTGGTACACCCAGGTGCTCCAGTGCCTTCATCAGGGCCCCACTGCCCAGCCCCGCACGGGCCTATCCACTCTGCTCCCAAATCCCCAGCACTCTGTCCTATACAGCAGGACATCTCATGTAGTCTGACTGACTCTGGCTCAAACCCCTCCAGGAGCTTCCTGCAGCTGTTCAGACAGATCCCCAGCCTAGCCAGGTCCCACAGGATCCGTCCTGCCCGTCTTTGCCTGCTCCTACCGGGCCTCCAGCTGTTTGGGCTGGGCCTGCACTTCCTCTTTCTGCTCAGAGCACCTTCCAGCCGCAGGGTACTTACACTGATATAGATGCCTCCTGCCCCACCTCAGGCCTTCACACCCTTTGCTCCAGCAACTTGCTTACCCTCAGGTCTCCGTCGAGTACGAGGTATTCCTGGAGCCCCAGGCTAGTCCTGCCGCTTGTACCCGGCATCAGCACCTGTTTATCTCTCCTTAGCACCTTGGGGTTTAGGGCCATGCTCCTCCCCCATCCACAGCACCTGACAGCTGACAGCAGTCATTCCACACACATCTCCTGAACAAACAAGTTAAAGAATAGTGGATGAAAATGTGAATGCCCATGGGCTAACAGGTCACCCGGGTGCTGAGTGTATGGGTATTTTTGTTTTCTTATATTCATTTTCTGCTTTTTTTCTATTAACAAACAAAAAAAGAACAGTTATCCTTTATAAAAGTCAGGAGTTCCAGGGAGGAGCCACTCACTCTCCCTTCTTCCCCTGTTCCTTCCAGCTCCACGGGGCCAACCCATCTCAGGGCTTCCTGCTTCGGGTCTCCCAGCAGAGTCAACAGTTGCCCTCCTACCTGGGCCAATGAAAAAGGCTGCCTGCCCCACTCACCCTGGCTGCACCCTCAGGCCCTCCTACCCCCCACCTACCCTGCCCTTAGTACAATCTTCCCACTCTCCTCACAGCCCCCCTTCCCACCCTGTGCTCATGTACTGATGTAGAAGACATGTGTGCAAACACACACATGCACATGCAGTCATAGGGGGTTGCTGCCTGCAAGACCAGTCACCTCCAAGGCCACCTGGTGTGCTGCCTCCATGGGACTTACCCCCTTGCATAACAGTGTGCACTCTGCAAAAAAGCAGCCCTACACCCCAGTGCAAGGCCCTTTTCTCCATCCAGGGCTTCCTAAGGGAGCTTGAAGCCTGTGCTGTATCACAAACTTGAACAAGAAGCCACAGGAAAGGAGCCAGCCAGGTGGGTGGTCCCTGGGCCAGGCAGGGCTCGGGGATGGTGTCTGGTGTAGACAGATGCCAGCACCTCTTTTAAAGTGTTCAGACTTTATTTCATGGTGATTGACACAGACACAGACACAGACACAGACCGGAGTTAGTAACATGACATATGGGGTTCCCTTCAGCCTTTGGGCTCAATGGCCCATTCGCAGCTGTGGGAGGGTTAGGGCTGCCACCCCCACGGGGGGCAGGGTGTGTGTGTGGGGGGGACAGGTGGGATGGGGCGTAATATTGCAGTTTTCTCTGCTGCCTCTATACCCACCCCTTGGCCTTGGTCTTGGACAATGACACCCCTCACACCAGAACCAGAGAGGGAGTTTGCTGTATGGTGTGCTCAGCTGCCCTTGGGCCAGGACAGGAAGGATGATGGCCCTGTCACCCCAGGTATCAACTAAAATCAATGCATAAAGGTTGGTGGTCAGGCCCGGACACCCATCCTTGAGAGGGGGATGCCAGCTACCCAAGCAAGGAGGCAGTGGGCATCAACCACATCACACAGCAGCCCTGCTCCCTCTTAGGACTGCTAATGAGAGCTGGGGTATCTGGGTTGGGGGGGTGCACAGCTCTGTCCAGGGTGGCTGGGTAGACAGGCAGGGCTAGCGAAGGGCCAAGGTGTGCTGACCAGGTCTGGACCTGGCCTCTGTCCCCCAGCACTCTGGGGCTGGTGGGCATGGTTGAAGGGAGGGGTACAGTATAACCCCAACAGTAACATTGCTGCAAAGTCACAGTATTGGCACGGGAGGCCTGGGAGGGGCCAGTCTGGACTCGAGGCTAGCCCTGGCCTACAGCACAGGCAGGGAGGAGCAGCAGCTCAGGTGGGAGCCCAGGAAGGCCCCTTAGGGCTTGCATGGAGGAAGGGCCCCCTCAAGCCCGAGCAGTGCCTTCCTGCACGGGTGGACACACGGGGGAGGCACAGCACGAGGGGCCGAGACACAGTGGCCCAAGGCAGAGGGACACATCCTTAGGCTGCCGCTGGAGTCAAGCCCTCCATGCTGCCTGCGTCATCTCCCCCTGCAAGTCCCGTGCGTGACACAGAGTTTGTCTCTGCAGCTTGTCTGCTTGGACGGTAGGGAGGCTGGTCCAGCAGTCCCTCTGGCCAACACATAGGCAAGAAAACCATATCAAAACAGCAATGAGTTTACAAAAATAGAAAATAATGACAACAGGGTGGGTGGTGGGCTGTGGTGTGTCTCATGGGGTGGGGCAGGGCCGAAGCTCCGGCTTGGTGACAGCATCCTCCAGCAGGTGCAGTGGGCGCTGACCCACCACCACGTCCCGTAGGCAGCCCACAAAGCCTGTGCTGTAGGCCTTGGGCAGGGCCTGGCCCATGGGCAGCTTCTCCAGGCCACCTGCAGGAAGACAGAAGGCCACCTGGTTGTGACTCAGGGATGGGCAATCTGGGGCACTAGCCAGCAGAGAGACCTGCAGGTACTTGAAAGACCAAGTGAGTTACCCGAGGCCTGTCAGTGCCCTGGGGGGAGGGGGAGACCACCTGACCAGGAGACATGCTCTGGCCTCCTGGCCCCACAGTCACCCAGGGAAGAGCAGGGCCTAAGACAGGAGGGGACAGGGCCCTACCCTGGCCAGTTGGTCTGCTGTCCTGGACGGGGTGACTCAGGTGGCATTCCCAGTTTGCAGCCCCAGGGGATAGGGTCTGTCCCTCAGAGATTCTGAGACCCTTGGGTACTCCTCCCCTGGCCTTCCCCCAAACACTCACCCAGCCATAGGGTTCCGTCTGTGTCTAGTTGTGTGGCACCCAGCGGGGAAGAGCCAGTCACAGGGGCCTCGTTGCCCACCTGAAGGGAACCTTCCCTCTGTTCCCTGGGGGTGGGGTGGGGTGAAGCCATCATCAGGTGGTTCCAGAGGCACTCCTGCCACCCCCAGATCCTGAGCCTCACATCCCTCCCAGAAGTCCCATCCTGGGGCCCACCACCATCATGCCTGGGGGCCAGAATGAGGTGGCACTGATCCCCAGGAGAGCACCCAGTGGCTAGGTCAGGGGGAACTCATGTGGGTTAAACTTTGCTGTAGGGGATGACCAGGCTCAGACCCCATGGACAGGTCTCCAAACAGTGTGCGGGCAGAGCAAGGACTCCCTTTTCAGATCAGGAAGTCCCTGGCCATAACTGCTTCTCCTTTGTCCTCTGGTCCCTCCCCCATCACTGGCAGTGGCCTCGAGTCGGGCACTTTGCCCTGCCCCCACCTCAAACCTGGGCCCTAGCTACAAGTGACCGGGCATGCCCTGGCTGGGCAAGTCCAGACACCACCCGCCGCTATTCTTGGTGTGCCCTGGGCTCCCCGCTGACCTATGTGCCCTGACCCGCAACCAGCGGTTGGTGTTGACTGGCACGGTGGAGTGCAGCACCACAGGCTGGGAGCCCAAGTCGTAGGTCAGCTGCAGGCGCCCATCCACAATGGCCAGTGCGATGTAGTCCGCCCGCTCCGTGGCCTTGCCGCTCCACAGCACCAGCCCCTGTGTGGCCTCCGTGCGCAGGCTCAGCTCAAAGTGGTTGCCCTGCAGGGCCTTCTCACTGCGGGGTAGAGAGCCGGTCAGGGCCTCCAGGAGGGCAGCCAGGGATGGCGTGCGGGAGGTGGGAGGGCAAGGGCCATGACGGCAGCTGTGATGAGACCCGGGGTGGGTGGACACCACATGGGACAGACAGGCCGAGAGAGGGATGGTAGGAGGTGGGACCAGACAGGCGGACACACAGCAGACGAATGAGGCAGACAGACAGCGGGGGTTGGGTGCCACTGCTCACCTGGGAAGGGCCCCGGAATCCGGAGCATCAGGACTTAGAAGCCGGAAGAGAGGGGAAGCAGGTGAGCAGGGGACAGACAGGCTGTAGTGTAGGGTCAGAGGGTGGGGGTACCCAGCAGCCCTTCCCCATGTCCCCTTTCCAGCAATGGAGAGTGAGAGCAAGCACCCGGAGAAGAGACACAGGACCCCAGGGCGGAGCCGGGGCAACGACCTGTGTGTACACACAGGGCTGGTGGGCATGACCCAGGCCAAGTGCAGAGATCAAGAGGCGAAGCTGAGGGCTCACCTGCCTGGGAGAGGCCCCTGGATGTCTGAATACACGTGTGCACGTGAGGTACACGCACACAGAGCATGTGCATCACACTCAGACACGCATGCACTCTAATGCACGCCTGCACACACCCACGCTATGCTGGTGCTTTGTGTCGAGGCAGGGGCTCCGGGGGGGATGGGGTGATGGCTCCCCTCTTCCAAGCTAGGGAACTAAGCCTTACACGGCACAGACACCGCCCTAACCCCATTCTCCTCCACCGGGGTGGAGAGTTTCGCCCTCGGTGGGGGTGGGGGTGAGGCTCAGGATGTGCTGCTGTGGATGAGGAGCTGAGAATGGCGGAGAGTGAAGGTGGGGGTGGGGGCCGAGGTGCTACTTACGCTGGGATCTCATTGGTCAGTTCGCTTGGAAACAAAGAGACAGAGGTGGTGAGAAGGAAGGAGGGTGGAGGAAGGTGGTGGGCGGGCCGAGCTGGGTGGACGCTGGGCCTTCCCCTCCCGGCCACAAAGTGGAGGACAGGCGTGGAGGGTCCAGCGTCTCACCCTGCACAGCACGCAGATAGGGCCAGACAGGCGGAGGGGGCGGGGGGCGCCCAGCTCCCAGGTGGCATGTTACCTCTCCGTCACAGCATTGAGGTATTCGATGTAGGTTTGTCCGTCAAAGGCCAGGGCGTCCACGTCCCCTGCCGACTTCTCCATCAGCCCTGAGAGATAGTTGGGGTGAGGGTGGCCTCGGCTGGGGCTCTAGCCCAGCCAGCCTCAGCCAGGTGCTGGGCACCGCTCACCGTGCTTACCCTTCTCGCAGTGAAGCCCCGAGAAGCCCCCGGGACACAGGCACTCGTAGGAGGCCTCCCGAGGGAGGCAGGAGGCCCCATTGAGGCACGGGTGGCCTGAGGCCTGGGTACAAGGGTGGTGGGCAAAAGACGAGACATCCACGGACCGAACCACGTGCTCCTGGGTCAGCAGCTGCTGGCCTTTCAAGGAGACCTGGGGGCATAAGAGGTAGAGAACCTTTGTCCGGCCTGCTGTCCTCCCTGCCACGGTAGCCCCCACCCCAGGACAGAGGCCCCTCTGGGATGGGCCCTCCCTCGAGGCTCTACCACCCCTGACACTGCAGAGAGCCCCTGGCTGGGATGGGCCCCACCCCCGCCCCATGTACCCGCTGGATGACGCCGTTGAAGCCAGAGGACACTGCGGCTGCCCGGGCCAGCTTGCTGAAGTCAGGGGCCCCTCCCACATAGAGCGGCTCCTTCAGGTTGAGGACAGTGTGTGGCACCTGGGGGGAGAGGCCGGGTGAGGGGGCTGTGAAGCCTGCTCCCCGGTCAGAGACAAGGACACTGGGCCCCAGACCAGCGGCCCCACGGGCCGGCAGGGACCCACCCCCTCGCCCGCCAGCCTATCTAGGAGGCAGAGTTAATCACACAGACATGGCCGAGGTGGAGACTTAGTGGGGGCAGGAGCTACTCTAGAAGATGAACGAGTGGGATGAGAGCAGAGACCAGTACCTTGCGGGATTTCTGACGTCCGAAGAGCAGGGTGGGGGTTGCAGAGCAAGGGCCAGAGAGCAGTGGGGGCAGAGAGAAGACACACAGACAGAGAGCACAGGACAGGTGGGGGAGAACACTCCAGTGAGAGTCGGCCGTGGGGGGGCTGCCGCGCCCCCCGGAGGAGATGGAGGAGGAAGGAGGCAGGGGAGCTGGTGCGAGGCCCTCGGCCCTGGGGACACTCACCGGGGACTCCCCCAGCACGCGCGGCCCGTCACTGACCCGCATGGCGCCCTTGCGGCCATTGCGCTCCAGGAAGACCCTGGTCCAGGTGTCCAGGGCCACGGGCTCCTTGCTCCTGGGGAGCAGGGGGTACCGTGAGCAGGCTCTGGGCCCACCCCGGAGCCTGAGTGCCCCCAGCCCCACCCCCATGCCCACGGGTGAGGGTGCACCTGATGACCGCCACCCCCTTGCCCAGGTCATAGCGGAACTCCAGGAAGCGGTCTCGCAAGGCAAGGGACACGAAGTCCCCCTTGCCGTCTGTCTTCTGCCCATTGTAGAAGAGCAAGCCGCTGGGGCCACGCGCCAAGAACACCACCTCCAGTACCATCTTCTCCCTGGGGGTCCGGTGGGGTCAGGTGGGGCCTCTCAACGGCCCCTCACCCCACAGGCTGGACAGGGGTTAGGGGGATGCTTCCCCTCACCCCCCCTTCTGCCCTACTGACCCCAGGTCCCGCTCAAAGGTATGCAAGCCTTTCAGCTCCAGGTAGGAGAAGCCACTGAAGTCAGCCAGGAAGGGCCGGGAATAATCCCGCTCAGAGACTGTGGAGGGTAAGAAAGCAGTCACACAGAGGGGCCGGGCCCTGACCCCTGGGGTTCCCTGTAACTCCACTGACCTGCCAGCCCCAGGCCGAACTCAAGCCCTAACCTCAACCCTGACCCTAACCCCAACCAGAACCCACACCCTAACGCTTAACCCCGACTTCCTCATCCCCACCCTCCCCCTGTACTGACAGCCCAATGCCCCCACCTGTCTGGCAGACGGTGCCCCCCCGTCCCTCGGGGCATTCGCACTTGGCCTCTCCCTCAGGCAACACGTGGCAGGGGGCTGCCCCATGGCAGGGGTTGGGCTCACAGGGGTTCTTGTCATCACTACACGTTGGACCTGGAAGGAGACACGATGGGGTCCCATGCCCACAGACACACAGGCATGCCCCAACCCCCACACCCAGCCCAGGCTCCACTCTCACCAAAGCGGCCGGGTGGGCACTGACAGTGGAACATGCCAGCCTCCAGGGCCTGGCATGGGGCCCCGCCGAGGCAGGGGTTGGGCAGGCAGGGGTGGTCCCCGCACTCGCCCACACCAGAGCTTCGGGTTACAGCCCCCTGCCAGTTGCTGAGCTCCAACCGCTGATTATTGACGTCCAGCAGGCGGATGCAGCCCCTGAGGCCAACACGGATGGAGGTCCTTTCGAGCACCCTGCCACCAGGAGGAGCGTCAGGCACCGGAGGCCAGAAACCACAGGCCCCCTCTCACAGCCAGCTCTAACACTGCACCCCCCCAACCAGCCAGGATCAGGGCTGCTCCCCGCTTTTGGTGCTCCCAGGATGGCCAGTCCCACAAACAGGACAGAACCAAGAAGTGGGTTGAGGGTCAAGGCTCAGGACTGAAGGTCAGGGCCAGCCCAGCCCCTCCTTGGGGTAACACGGCAGCCTGGGGCTGAGGGATGCCACCCAGGAGACAGAATCAGGATTGGGATCAAATCAGGGTCAATGCCATCATCCACACTCATCCTTGCACCCACTCTGCTATTCACAAGTCGCTGGGGCCTCCTGGATGCCGCCCACAAGAGTCAGGGGTCAGGACCAAGGTCAGGGGCCCAGGGTCTGGGGTGCCCCACCCTCCTTGGTGCTCACACAGCAGCCTGGTCCGCCGGGACGCCGCCCACAAAGAGGTCTGTGTCCAGGTTGAGACCGTCAGTCCCACTGGGGCTGTGGCCCAGAACAGGGGTCTCCCCATCCACTGAGAGCGAACCCCGGCGCCAGTGCCTAGACAGCTCCAAGCGGTACCAGCGGCCAGGCTCTACAGGCACCGAGCTGGTCAGGACTGCGGGCCCTGAGCCGGTGTCAAACCTGGGGGATGGGAGCAGGCACTCAGGACAGCCGGAGGGGCCCAGGACCACTGCCCAACCTCAGCCTCCCGCCCTCACTTCTCACCCGCCTTGGCTCCGTTCCTGACCGCCCCCACCCCTACAGCCCCCGCTGCCTGGCCCGCCCTGGCCACTCACCGGAGCTGCACACGGCCCCCCAGCAGAGTCAGTGCCAGGAAGTCCTTGCCCTGGGCGTTGCCGTTATAGAGCAGGAGTCCCTGGGGCTCTAGCGCCCGGAACTCCAGTGCCAGGCGCAGTGTATGGTAGGCACGGAGGGTGGGGAAGGCCAGGAAGGAGTGGCCCCCGAAGGCTGGCACAGAGGGATGCAGTGCTGCAGGGAGACAGGGAGGGAACCGCTGGAGGGGCGCAGAGGAGCCCGGTCCCGCTCGGGGTTCTCCTCTAGCCTGAGAGCCCCAGCCCTGAATCCCCAAGCTGGCCCTGGCCCCAGCTCTGGGGCAGGGAATCCAACCTGCCCCTCACCCCAACCTGGGCCCCCTCTGCCTAGTCCCCAGCTCTCCACCGTGGCTTGGCCTGGCCTGGCCCCAACCCTGGCCCCCCCCCCCATCTGCTTCCCCGCCTCTCTCTGGCATGGATGACCTTTACCCTTCTCGCAGACAGCACCCCTCCTGCCCACTGGGCAGCTGCAGGTGAAGCCTCCAGCCGAGTCCTGGTCCTGGCAGGTTCCCCCGTGGAGGCAGGGCTGGGAGTCACAGGGCTTTGGTGGCTGCTGGGGGCCTGAGGGCAAGGGCCGGCGTCCAGGCACGCGACGGGGGGCAGTGGTGGGGGGCTGGCGTGTGGTGGGCAGGGCCGTGGTCCTGCCAACAGGCCGGCTTGTGTGACTGGGGTAGAGGGCCCGCTGGGTCACAGCAGAAGGCACGTGGGCCACAGTGGTGGCTCTGGCCGTGGCTGCAGCAGGTGTGGCTCCTGTGGTGGCTCCCATGAAGAATGCAGGAAACCAGTCTGAGGGCAGAGGGACAGTCAGGACCCACAGGGAGGGCCAGCCAGGGCAGGGGTGCTGTGGGTAGCAGGGCAGGGGACAGGCAAGCTGCAGCACTCGGCCAGACTGTGCACTCACCGAAGTCCATAAAGCGTATGTGCTCCTGCAGGGGCCGCCGTACCCCCAGGGACCGGCGCCGGGACGCCTGTATCTGCCGGAGCAGGGCCTGGCCCACATCAGACGCCCTAAAGGCTGTGGCTGGGGAGGAAGGGACATGGAGCGTGGGGCAGCCCCGCACAGACGCCTGCTGCCTCCTGGGAGGGCCCGGGGCAGGGGACTCACCAGGGTCGAAGTGCACGTCCACGGTGGCTCGGACTGAGCTGCCAGGCCCCAAGTCCCGCAGGCGGACACTTCGGAAGTCCTTCTTAACATCCGAGTTCCGGAAGAGGTCATCCAGCTGGGGGCGGGCAGTGGGTGAGGGCTCTGGGGAGCCGCCCAGGCCAGGCTGTCAGGCCCTCCCCCTGCAGCGCCTCTCTGGGTCTGTCCTGGGAGGGAAGCTAGTGGCCGGGCAGGGCCGCACCCCTGCACGTACTGTGCTCTCGATGCTCCTGGCGGTCTCCCCAAAAAGCTCTGACTTGGGGTCGGCCATCTCCGGTGTGTAGAACAGCTCCTGCCCCTCGACCCCCTCGAGCTCCAGTACACCCTGGAACGCCTTGGTGGCTGTGGGGGAGGGGGCAGTGAGGCCCTGCCCGGCCCCTGCCACAGGCACAGGCCCCAGCAGCAAGCCACACGGGGTGCAGGGCAGGTTAGTCAGATGGTCATGAGGTTAGTGGGGTCTCGGGGTGGGGCTGGTGCCAGTTACCAAACGTCTTGGAGCAGAGCTCCAGGCCGGCTTGCAACAGGAAAGACAAGTTAGCCGCAGGGTCCTGGGCACCCACACGTGTGCACGCCCATGCTGGACGCCCAAGACCACGCACGTGTGTGTGCCAAATCAGAAAACCGTAAGCCCTGAGCGCCCACCTGCCGGGCAGGCCTCCTGCCTAGGAGGGGAGACAGCGTTCCTGGCGTGTCCAGGCCACGGCTCACGCGCCACCCCAGCCACCGGCTGCGCACTCACCAGGACAGTTGGAACCCTGTGTGTCCAGCGAGGGCGTCTTGCCGTCCGAGCAGCAGCCCAAAGGCGCATTGTAGCAAGAAGCCCTCTCCACGGGTGGCCCAGGGGTCGCAGCACTGCCACCTCCGGGGGGCTCGAGTCCTGGGGAGGTGCAGTCTAAGCCTGGCCCCAGACGTAACCCTCCTGGGCCCCGTCCCCCACATCCCTGAGCCCACGCTCACCCCCTGAGCCAGTCCCACTGGCCTCCAGGTCACCGCTCAGTCCCTCATCACCGCTCCCGTCAGCACTGCCAGATTCGCCAAAGGCCGACGTGGCGAGGCTGGCCGTGGCAGCGGCCGTGGGGGGCATGGTCAGCACAGGCCCCGGGGTCGTCCTGGGGATGCCGGCAGTGGTCCACGGCCCCGGTGAGGGTCGAGGCGTGGGCTGGCTGGGAGGGGTACTGCTGGGAGCCCGGGGCAGGGCGCTGGGGGAGGGTGGCAGCACCTTGCTCATGTTGAGCCCTGATGTGGCCACGGGTCCAGATGTTGGGGGGGCACCAGGACCAGCAGCCTCTGCGGGAGGAACAGAGTCTGAGCGGAGGGCCAGGTCAGGCAGTCAGCCCAGAGTCAGGCCCTCTCCGTCAGCTCTCCGGCGGTGGGTGGGGCCTCACCCCGGCACGGGCCAAGGCTCTGGATGGAGATGTCCAAGCCCTGGCGGCAGGCGATGGTCCTCAGCTGGCACTCGTTGCCGTAGGTCACTCCGTCCGACCCACAGACCTGGGCACAGGGCAAGGTTGCTGGGGGGGGCCCCTCCCCACCCACCACCCTCCACATGCCCCAACCCTCACCTTGGTTGCATTGGCCTCCGGACAGGTGGATGTTGGGCACACGCAGTGTGCGGAGCCAGCCTCCTCCACGCAGGATGCCCCAAACTCACAGCGCATCTCAGCACACGTCTCAGGCACCAAGGAATCTGGGGCACACACGGAAGACCCTGCTGGCTCTGGAGGCCTCGCTCCTATGACGGCCCCACCCCTGGCATGGGGAGCCAAGGTCAGCGCCAGGCTTGGCTCTCACCTGTTTCACAGCCTCCGGGGCCCAGGGCGTGGCCTTCTGGACACTGCCCGCACTTGGGCCCGGCCACCCCGGGCTTACATGAGCACAGCCCAGTCATCTGCTCACAGTCGTCCCGCACCGCACCCCGGGGGTCACAGCTGCAGGCTGGGAGGCAGGGGGAAGAACCTGAGCTCTGCGCCTGGCCTCCCCACGGGCTCCAGGGCCCGGCCCAGTTCCTGCCTGGTGTGGGTCAGGCCAGGGTCTGAGCAGGTGAGACAAGGGGCACAGTGACAGGACGGACAGGTGACAGTGCTCGGCTGGGGACTGACCATGGCCCCTGTCACTCACGGGTGCAGCCGCTCCGGCCATCAGTGACAATGCCACGGAAGTTCCAGAAGCCAGGCTCACAACGGTCACACTGGAGGCCCCCAACACCTGGGCGGCAGGAGCACTGACCCGTGGCTGGGTCACAGGTTCCACTGTAGGAGCCGTGCGGGTTGCAATGGCAGGAGCCTGCAAGGCCAGGGCAGGATAGGGTCACTGCAGCTACACGGCCCCACCGGGCTGGGGCTGGGGCTGGGCACGAGTACTCACTGGGGCAGCCGGCCAGGCCCACACCCCGGGCCGCAGTGATGTTGTCCTGGCAGCAGCCATAGGGGGTCTGGGTGCAGTGCGGGGGGGCTGCAGGTGGCAGCGGGGCCAAGGTGGGGCCTGCAGGGAGGGGCGACACGCAGTGCCACATGTCCACCTTGGGCCTGGCCACCCCACCACAACCTCCCCTGGCCGTCGGGGCCTGGTACCTGGAGCTTGGGTCACAGGTGAGGACCCCACACCACTTACAAAAACACATCTGTTCACGTAGTACGGAAAACATGCAGAACACCCAAAGATCGTGAACATGCTGCCACGTATATACACAAACAACCAGAACCAGGTGTGCTTGGTTAGTATGTTTTTACAAGCTGGCACACACACATACAAAACACATGTAGACACATTTACCCACGTTCCTCCCAAACCACACACGTCAAACACACCCACAGATACACGTGTGCGTGCACGCATAAGTCCACATACCCACATGAGCACCCGTGCACACGTGGAAGTAGAGTAAATGTGGCATATCTACTGGACCGCCACCCGGGTCCCCCCAGAAGAAAGGCCGTCCAGAGGGTAGGCCTCGCTAGTGCACGAAGCCCGGTCCAGGGCACCACAGGCTGGTGCGTCGTGCACCCCTGCTCTGCTTGGAGGCACTCGTACCCACAGGCTGCAACCGCATGGACATGCACTGCACTCCTTGAACCCCATGAGCTCCAGGCCCCCCACGGCGCACACAAACCCCCGTGAAGAGACGTGCACACATAGGCTGCACCCCTGTGCACACAGGCCCACAACGGCAGCCGTGCACAGGCCCACTCACCCCGGCAGGCCCCCTGAGCTGTGACGTACAGTTCTCGCCGCGACTCACACCTGGCCTTCTTCAGCTCGCACTCGGTGCCATAGGTGGCCCCATCCGAGCCACACACCTGGAGGGGCGGTGTCAGTGTGTGTGGCCACAGCCACTTCCTTGCCGCCCGCCCAGAGCCGGGGTTGGGGGGGCAGGGGGCTCACCGGGCTCCGCAGGACGCCACGGCAGCTGAAGTCACAGACGCACGGCCCGTCTTCCGAGTCCTCGTCCCAGACACCGCCGCGCCGCCGGCACAGCTCCTGCTCACACTCACCGTCCTCTCCAGAGCCAGAGCCCCCAGAACCGCACTCAGCTGAGGGGAGGGGGCCGGGTCACTTGCGGGGGCCCTGTCCAAGGCTGGCGTGCAGCAGCCCAGGCCAGCCGGCCCCAAGCCTACCCTGCTCACAGGGCCCCGCCCGGGCTTCCTGGATGTGTGTCTGCTGCCGGCAGGCTGCCTCCCGGAGGTGACACGCACTGTCGTAGGTGACACCGTCGCTGCCGCATACGGGGCCGGGTGGGGGCCGCTCACACCGGGGACACACACACCGCCCAGCCGAGCACACTGCCCCGAAGGCGCATACCGCGTCTCCGCAGGCCTCTGGAGGGCGAAGCGAGGCAGGGGTCAGGGCAGCCCCAGCCGAGGGAGGCGCAGGACCCCACCTGCCCCGCCCCACAGCCCCACTCACGGCAATGCCCGGCTGAGACCACGTGCAGGCTGATCTGCTGTGTGCAGGCGTGGACATGCAGCTCACACTCGCTGGCATATGTGTGCCCGTCAGAACCGCACACGGGCTGAGCCGAGGCCACGCACTCGGAGGGGCACACGCAGCGCCCACTCTCGGCCTCACACAGAGCTCCAAAGCGGCACTGCCCGCAGCGGTCTGCAGAAGAGGCTCCATCAACACGGCAATCAGGACTCACCACCCCCTAGCAAGACTCACTTGCCCACCACTGACCACAGGGTCCTCTGCGGGCCACCCGGATCTCCCGTCCAAGGGCGCAGGCCGTGGCCTCCAGCTCACACGCGCTGCCGTACGTGACACCGTCACTACCGCACACAGGATCATAGATGCCTGAACACGCCTGCCGGCACACACACTCCGCTTCCCCGTTCTTCACAGCACATGATGCCCCAAACGGGCACTGCACCCCGAGGCATGGGGACAGGGGCTGGTCTGGGGAGAACAAGGGCACTCAGTGGGCTCTTCCTGCTCCCCCAGGCTCACGCACAAAGCCCCCAGCTCCACGCAGCAGACCCTCTCCCAGGGCGGGGGCAGCAGAGGGAAAGTGGACGGGGAGAAGAGCCGAATGCTCAGGACACAGCAGAGAAAGGGACAGACACATGATGGACGCAGACAGGGACACAGACCCAAACAGCCTCAGCCCCTGCCTGGGTGTGGGGAGGGGCTGCCCCCACGACACAGGAACTTCCTGGCTGCCCACAGTGGGCGGAGGGAGGGCCAGGCTTCTGCAGCCATCCAGGCCACTGACCACTGGCCACCAGCAGCCCTGGGACACCCGTACGTGTAGGGGGGGCTCTCTCCCCATGGGGGGTAGGAGTCGTGGCCCACGGTCACACCCAGGGCCACCAAGGGGAGGAGGTGTCTGTCCACTTGCTCTGAGGACCGCAAGGCCAGGCAGCAGCGAGCCACCCCCCCCCCCCACTGTGCCGGAGGCAGACCTCGGGCTGTGGGCTCCTGGCGGCAGGCGCAGTACCTCATCCTGCCAGCAGGTCAGAGGCTGGAAGACACAAGAGGCGGAGCAGAGAGGGAAGGAAGGACAGAGGAGAGAATACAGACGCACAGAGAGCGTGGAAGGACAGACAGACCGACCGACGGACAGAGTGGGGGGCTGGCAGAGCCGCCACACGCCCCATCCCCGCACTGAGCCTGACTGAGACTTTGCCTCTGTGGGGGCCCTGGCATCCCCAGAGTGGGGGGCCTGGGGGCCTGGAGGGTGCCGGGGCAAGACAGCCTCAACGTGCGCACCAGGGAGCCTGCACAAGGACCCCCATCTCTGCCAGGCCCCCCCTAACAGAACCCACTGCCCCAGAGCCTGCGGATGCACAGCAGCCCTGCGGCCCCCCCGGAAAGAGTATGAGTCGGGATGGAGATGGTAAGTGATGACAGGCAGCAGGGGCGATGCAGGGCCGGCCCACGGGCCCCCCTCCGGTGCTCACCACACGGGCCCTGGTGCTTGGCGGGGATGGCACGCTGCTGCTGACACTCAGCCTGGCGGCGCCAGCAGTCACTGTCATACGTGTGCCCGTCGAGCGCGCACACGGGACGGTAAGCCCCGTCACAGACGACGCGGTCGCAGGAGCAGCGGGCACGGCCTCGGCGGGACAGGCACACAGCACCGAACCTGCACACGTCTGCACACTGGTCTGGGAGGGCGAAGCAAGGAGATCAGACAGCCCGGGGAGCCCCGCCAGCCCCCACCTCGGGGCGTGCAGGGCATCCACGGGCGCACGAGGTGGCCGAGTGGGCGCCGGGGAGGAGCGCAGAACAGTGTGGGCACAGGCAGGCCTGGAGCTCACACCGCGTGGCCGGGCTGGGCCTCCCCCAGGAGCCACCCACCTTGAGGCTGGCACCGGCCAGAGCGCACTTTCTGGAGGAGAAGGCCGCGGGCAGCGCCCGTGCGGCCCATTATGCAGTCATTGTCATAGGTGACCCCGTCATCCCCGCACACAGGTGCGTGCCGAGGGGGACAGCTCTCGGGCCGCAGGAGCATCTCGGGGCGCCGCGTGCGTGGGTTCACGCGGCAAACACGGCTCAGGTCACCGCGGGCACCCTGGCAGGGGTCTGGAAGGCGGAGGGCAGAGGTCAGGCCGCGGGGCCAGGCGGGCATGCACACGCAGAGGCCGTGCTATGCGCAGGGGTCAGGGCTCACCACAAGGGCCATCGAACTTCTTGAAGACGTTCTCCTGGCGGGCGCATGCGTGGCGCAGAAGCTGGCACTCGCTGGGGTAGTCTGCCCCGTCGCTGCCGCACACAGGGCCCTCGGGGGGCCCCTGGCAGGTGGCCGGGCACAGGCACGTGGCTGTGTGCCCGTCTGCTGAGCGCACACAGGTGCTGCCGAAGCTGCACGTCACATTGGAGCAGGGGTCCCGGGACCCTGGGGGGGCAGGCTGGGGTCACGAAGCCGTCCCCCCGCCCTCCGGGTGCCCGCCTGTACCCGCACTCACCGCAGGGCCCACGGCTGAGTAGGCGGATGCGGCGCTGCCGGCTACACTGCGCCCGTCGCAGCTCACACTCGCTGCTGTAGGTGGAGGCGTCGGAACCGCACACGGGGGCCACCAGGGCGGGGCAGGCGCTCTTCTTGCACACGCAGGAGGCTCGGCCAGAGCCCTCTGCACTGGGCTGGCACACGGCGCCGAAGCCACACAGCATTCCTCGGCATGCTGGGGGCGTGGCAGGAGAAGGGAAGGTCAGGGCCCAGCCCGCTTGCATCCCGGGCCGCGGGTCCCTATGTCCACACAGCTGCCGAGACCTCGAGAGGCACTCACCGTGTTCGTCCACTAACCCCGGGGACACCTCCACCCGCGCCGCGCACGTCCACACATTCTGTGCTGGGCACTCGCAGGAACATGTGTGTGTCCGCGGAGGCCGCGTCCACACACCCCTGCACATGCTGACAGGGCCTGGCCCCTTCCCCTCTCAAACCCCACCGGCCCCAGCACTTTTCCTCATGGCAGAAGCTTCTCAGCTGTGGAGGGGGTCGTCTCCCAGATGTTGCACCAGCACCAGGGAGTCATGAGCCACCTCAGTGGGAGCCCCCCACACAGAGCAAGAAACCAACCCTCAGGCCAACTCTGTCGCAGGGAATCTGCCCCACCTTGCTTAGGGGCCCACCCTCTCCTCAAATCAGAATCAAAGCCCCTCATCTGACCCCTGACCTACCCCCCCAGAGCCCTGGCCCTGGCCCCTTCCTGGGAGCTGCCCCAGGGTCCAACACCAGCCCCACCCCCGCCAGATGGGTGGGAGGTCTGTGGATCCAGGTCACATGCTCCACCTCTGGCTCTGGGCCCCTCCTCGGCACCCTAACCCCAGGCCTCCCCCCATGTTCCTCTTTTCTTCCCACGTCTTTTCTATGTGGGCCCTGACTCTTGGGCTTTTCTCTGCCTGGCTCCCTCACCTCCTGCATCTCCCCCAGGTCCCTTAGCTGTGGCTTTCTTGATGGGGCCTTCCTGAACGTTCCTGGTCTCCCCAGGTGAAAGCTGACGGGGCATCTCTCTCTGAGGCCCCTCAGGCTCTCCCATGCCTCCACCTCCCCACCTACCCTCCGGGGCCCCCACCTCAGTAAACGTCCTCACCTCCCCACACCTCCTCCCCAGTCCCGCTGTCCTACCTCATACTCAGGAGCGACCTCCTCTGGGAGGCTGAGCACAGGGGCTCCGCAGACCCGTCATTTTCCTCTTTAAACATTTTAGTTTCTAACTCTGCAGTTAAAAACTGCCATGTGCCCAGCACATCCCAAGGAAGTGGCTGTTCCTGACCCCCACTGGTGAGGGACCACAGTCCTGCGGATTGGAGAAACACAGAAGGCTCTCAGACATTTAAACCCAGAGCTGTCAGGGATAGCCCCTCCTGAAGAGAGGCAGGCGGACCCCTTAGGACCCCCACCAGGACTGCCCACCCACAGGTGCGTGGGCCCATTACAGGCTGCAGCTGTCTACATCTAATACATGTTTAATTGGGTCTAATTATCATTAATAAGTTATGGTGGAGAGGGCGGGGTGGCTCACCCCATTGCCTCCCAGCAGGCTCAGGAAGTGGGGCGGGAGGGAGAAAGCACCTCCATTCGGGCGAGGGCAGGGCCACAGCAACGGCCCACCTCAGGCTCCTTCAGGTCTGACTGGCCATCCCCACCCCCACCCCACACAGGTTGACTGAACAGGGGCCCAAGGCGAGGGCGGGGCCAGTTTGGACACCCCAGCCTGAAGTCCCTGCCACCAAGGCTCCTGCCTTCCTCCTCCCCTAGCTCCCCTGTGTCCCTGCTCCTGCAGATCCCAGAGCCAGGCTACCGCCAGCTCTGCGTTCACCTGCCTGGTGACCGTGGGCAAGTTATCGCCCCGTCATGCTGCAGTACCTCTTTCTGTGAGTGAGGACGGTGGGACCTGCTTCCCAGGGTTACTGTGGGGCTAAATGGGCCAATATCCGCAGAGGCTTGCAGGGTGCCCAGCATGCAGCTCTGGGTGGAGTGTCAGCTGCTCCAGTAATGACACCGGAACAAGAACTGTCATTACGTTGGCCTCCTCTCTGTCCTGGCTCAAACCAAACTCAAAGCCTGTCCACCGTGAGGCCTCTTCGTGCTCTCTGTCTCCCTCCATCTCCCTCTACTCTCCCCTTAGCACTTTCTTCTCATCTTCCTTGCCCAAGGCTCCTGGGACCCCCAGGCCAAATTCACAGGCACTTGCTGATATCCAGCTGACTCCTCTATTTGGCTTCAACTAGAGCTGCTGACCAAGGTCCCTCCCAGAGTCCTGACCCCATGGCCAAATACTTGGTCTTTCATTACACCTCAGGCTCCTGGGCTGGTGGCAGAGTGTGCCCTCGGATTCAGGCCACTCTCCTTCTGCTCACCTCCGTCCAGCCAGACCCCTCGGACAAAGACATCTACTCCTGGATGACTAGCATGTTCCTTGCCCACCAAGACCTGCACTCTGCCTCCACAGCCCAGGGTTCTGCTTTGTCCCCCCCAAGACAGTAACTAGGGAAGGACAGTGATGATGACGATGGACAGCTAACCTGTGATAAGCGAGCCTGGAGCACTGGGTCAGGTGTATGGAAGGTGGACTGCAAGGGGAGGGGCTGGGGGCAGGAGACCAGGAACATCTTGGGGACAGGTTCCTTGGGACTAGCTGTTGGACTGAAGGTGGCTGAGGGCAGAGGAGAGGTCAGGGTGCCTCTGGGGGCCATCAAGCTGAGGCCCCCATGTTGACTCCCAAGTCAGACAGGTGGGTCCAGGTCCAAGCCCTTCCACCTCCTACCACTTTACAGAGCCTGCACCCCCGTCAGAGTGGCAGTTCCCAAGGGGCAGTCTCCTGGCTCTAAAGTGGGGGAAGATCTTGTGGCTCCCAGGGCAGCTACAGCATTTGGTGACGCGACGTAGGCAAAGCAGAAGCTTGGAGTACATGGTGTTCATCCCCTGTCCAGGCTGAAATGGGTTCCTTGCCCAGAGCCACGCTCAGGCTGTGAGGTCAGGGGAGGGCTGCTCCCGTGCACAGTCTTGTTGCCCGCTTCACAACCGCCTGTCTACATGTGTGCTCTCTGCTCCCCCCAGGACTAGAGAATCACCGAGGCTCAAGACAAGTTTCTTGACTGGACATAAAACATGCACAAGTACGCAGGCACGCACAGGCATGCAAGCACATGCCCAGCATGTGCCAGGCACCACTAGTCCCACACCTGTATCAGCCCTTAATCATTATGTACACTGCCCCTCATAAATGCAGGGAGAGCACCCATATGCCCACGAGCCATGCGCTCTGCCACACTTGCCCAGCTCTGACTCCTACGGGAGGCCTTCTCCGGCCACTCAGCTCCCCTGCACAGTCTTGCTCCCCGTGTGCCCAGGGGCCCCCTCACAATGTGCCATGCTGGAGGCAGCGGTGGTTTTTATAGCCACCAGCTGGCGTGGGTATATTTAACTCCCCTCCTGGTCTCGGCTGAGCTGGGGGATGGAATGGATGCCCCAAGCCCTGCCCATGGCCACAAACACACAGTGTGTATGCCTACGAGGGATGATGATGGCCATGGATCTGTCCCCCAGTGTGCAGTAGGATCAGAATGTGGGTGTGGGGGCCCATATGTGCAGCTGCAGGGAAGACCAGTATGTATGTAAAGCAAAGGAGATGCTCCAGGCTTTTAGGCTTCAGGAGAGGAGGCTGAGGACAGTCTTTAGATCCAGATAGCCCCAGGCCTCTTGCCCACAGCCTGTGGGAGATTCAGTCTGGTCTCCAGCCCCCAGCCCACTATAGGCCCGATCCCATATATGGATAGCCTTCCATAAGTGACTTCTATGAACTTGGGCAGGTACCCACCCAGCAGGGGGCCTAGGTACTGAGCACAAAGTTGGAAGCTCTCACTGTCCTGGCCCAAGGAGAGAACCCCAAGCTGCCCTTTCCTGTGGCACTAACAGCTTCATCCCCTCCCCCATCACATTAGCTTAATTATAGTGGCCCACAGACCAGCAGGTTCCTCAGGGAGGCCAGGCCCCAGGCCACAAAGTGGGTCACAAAGGCCAACCCCAGGCTGTTCCTTCCAGAGACAGGCTCTCCAATCCCTCCTCAGTCATTGGTCCATGACCCCCCACCCCGCGCACATATTGTCTGACGATCTTACAACTTGCAGGCCCCAGGACTTAGTCCCAATTTTTCGGCCAAGAAGGCCAAGGCCCAGAGAAGTTGGAGCCATGCTTGTGTGCAATGGCCCATGGCCGACACAGGGTCAGGCCCAGGCCCAAGGACCCCACATGCCCTCGGCTTGTCCACCACTGTGGACATCCCAGGAAGGACCCAGGCTCTGTCATCCAGCCTCCTCTCTGCTCCAGATACACCTAATATGTCTGGTGTGCACACCCCAAGAATGGCTCCTGACCCCCAAGAGTGCCACTGCCCCTCCCGGCACAGTCTCCCAAGTACAGCCTGTCACCACCTGAGGCCCCCCCACTCAACTCACCATCTGGAGGCGTGGGGGTTGCTGGTGTGAAGTGGGTCCCAGGTTTGTCTGGAAAAAAAACACAACAAATATCTGAGTTAGTCCTCTCTGAGCAGGCCTTTCCATAGCCTGTCCCTTTGCCCAGTCTGGAGGGGCTACCTCTGCCCTCCCACACCTGCTCTCTATACCAGTGCCCAAGCCCATTCCTTCCTTGGCCCCACTCTGAGCCCTGAGGACTGGCCAAAGGCCTGTGGGTAGCCAAAGCAGAGGCCCTTGCTTTTCTCTGCCCTTCCAGCTGTATGGTCATGGCCTGACACCTGTCAGGCGGGGCCCTAACAGCAAGGGTGTGGGCAGCCACCTATCCCCTAGATGAGCCCCGCCCCAGGCCCTGCCAAAGCCCCCACTTCCAGGGTAGTCAGCTGCTCCCTTCCTCCCCAGCTCCCAGAGAAAGTTGTCTCTGCAGCTCAGGATGAGGGTCAGCCCCATATGAGCCCAAGGATAAGCTTTGAGGGGCGGAGGGATCCAGAGAATGGCCCATCCTGTCCCCAGAAGATGCAGGTGGCCCATCTGAGCCACATCTCAGCTGGTAGCCTCTATGTGACCCTGCCTGTCCCCCAGTACGTGGTGGCTGAGGCAGGGGAACTCAGACAGCAGGAGGGTCACATGAGCCTGGCTCAGGCCCGGAACCACGTACAGTTGTTGAGGAAAAGCAGCACGGCGAATCCCAGCGTGGAAGTGGCCAGCAGGATCAGGCAGACGTTGCAGGGGATCATAAAATATCGCACCAGCAGGGAGACCCCGCGCTGCTGCCGGGGGTCCCTCTCCAGAGGTAGCGGAGGCATGGCCCTGGGTTCCTCAGTCCCCACTCTCAGGGTGTGGGGATTCCTCAAGGGGTGCCCTTGGGCCTCTTCGGGGCAACTCCTCCCATTCTGGGACCCCGGAGCAGCTGACAGCAGCTATGTTCTCAAAGTTCAGTGCCAGTCACTGCCCGGAGAGCACCAGGACCCCACCGCAGCCCCCGAGGCTCATAATGGGAGGTGTGCAGAATTCTCAGAAGGAAGAGGAGGAGAGACTACGGGCCAGCCAGCGGCCACCCCTCGTGTCCACAACCCGGTAGTCGTAGGCGCCAGTAGCTCTCCGCGGGGCTCCGGAGCCCCCGTTCCCGGCCGCCCGGCTACCCTGGAGGGGCCGGTCCGAGGGGCACTGGCGGCGAGGAGAGGCGCGGCGGGGTGCCGGGCGCCGAGGGTCTCCAGTCCCCAAGCAGAGGCGGGAGCGGCAGCGAGCAGGAGGAGCGCGCGCGCGCGCGCGTCGGAAGGGAGAGAAGAAAGAGCCGGCCCTCGGAGGGCCGCGCCTCGGCTCCCGCCTCTGGGCGAGCAGCGCCAGCTCGTGTCGCCCTCGCCAGGGCTGAGGCGGTGAGTGAGGGGCGAGGGGCGCCGCGGAAGGAGGGCGGGGAGCAGAGACAAAGGAAGACGCCTCCGGGGACCCCGGTGTCCGCGGGGAGTCGGGGCTCGCGGCGCAGAGGACCGGGCGGAAGAAGACGGTGGCGCAAAAGGGAACGCAGGGGCAAACGGGGGCAGCAGCAGGGGTGGGGGGTGGGGGGCGGGGGGGTGAGGTGGGAGCCGGGGCTGGGAAAGGAACAGGGGTCGTGGGGCGGGTGGGCGCGGGGGGAGGGGGGGGAGCGGAGGCAGGTGCTGGGGCGGGGTGGGGGGCTAGGAACGGGGTGGGCGGAGGGAGAAGGGGTGGGGCGGGGTCAGGGGCTGGGCGGGTCCCCTACCGCGCCCACCCGGCGGAGCTGGGCCGGACAGAGTGTGTCAGCGGCCGAGGACGCGGCGGAGGGCCGGAGGGTCATCCTGATTCCCCGCTGTGGGGCTCGGACCCGTCTGCAGGACTCCATTCTAGGCTGCGGTGTGCGTGTGCTTGTGTGTGCGTGTCCCCGTGTGTGCTTCTGCGGGCCCCGCCCTGGCAGTGTGCTTGTGGGGGGCAGGGTCCCCCAGGTACACACACAGGTGGTGAGCGGGCTGGGTCCAACACGGAGGGTGGAGGCGGAGAGACAGGCCCACCCCCACCTGGGAACTGATGGCAACACCTCAAACCACCCGCGCACTTCCCACCTCCCCTTGGGACGGTGAGAAGAACATGCAAATGAGTTCCTTGTAAAGAAGCGTTATGTAAATAGTCGCGGTACTCCCGGCACGGTCCCGCGAGCCTGGAGCGCCCCCAGGAGGCCACCAGGGAGCGTCGGGGCCGTGACGTCACAGCCGGGCCGGCCGGAGTCAGGCCTCTCCACATCCGCCGCCCGAGGACGCCCCTTCCCTAGCTCCTGCCGCCTTCGGGGTAGGGCGAGGGTCGTGCACCGTCCCCATCATCCACACCGGTCACGTCGCACCCTCCGCGGCCAGGACCCCCTCGGTGGCCATCTCTATGACTAACCCCTTCACTTCCCTGCACCCCCACCCCTCCACCGCCCACAGACCTTTGGGAGGAACCCCTGAGCGCCTACCGCCATACCCACCACGTCCGGCCGCTTCCAGCCTGGACCTGGTCACAGGCCTTCGAGGCCCTGCAGTGACCTCTGCCTGTCCCTCTTAGGGTCGGCCAGCCCTTTCTCGGGAGAGACAGGGAGGGGAAGCTTGGCGTCCAAGGCACAGGGGATCCCTCTTCTCCTTGGGATCAGGGCCCACCCAGCCCCGGCCCAGGACTGCTGACCAACTCCCACCGCAGCTGAAAAGAGGTTAATTGCCCCGCTGCCGCCACCCCCACACACGCTCGGTCCTACCCATGTACACGCAATCCCGCACTCAGCAGACACACGGCCGCCCGCCCACTCAGGCCTCCGGCCGGCTATCTGCGCGCGTGGTCAGCAGGTCCCCCTCTCAGCCAAACTGCTGTTACCACCAGAGCCACCCCCGGGCACTCGGAGGTCCCCTCTCAGTCCACCTTGGGAAAGAAGCACTGACCACACCCCCTTCCTGCAGTCCCTCCCCCAGGTCTGTGCGGCGGCTGTGCCCCGGCACAAGCCCCTCCGGGTGCCGACCCTCCACTCCTCCACAGTGACGGGCACCGCAGGGCACCAACAGACATCTTAGTGCTCGACTCCCACCAAGCCTCCAGCTGGACTCTCCCTAAGGTCCCTCCACCGTATGCTGTATTCAGCTATGTCACAAACATGTCCCTAGAGCTCCCCCTCCGCCTGGTCAGGTAGGTTCCTCCACACTCCCTCCACACCCTTCTGCCCGCCCCCCCACTTCCTCTGCCAGCCAGCCAGGGTCCAGTTCTAGGAGGTAGAACTTTCCATTCTGTGGCCAGGCACAGTAGGGCCACATCCCACTCAGGGCTAGCCCATCCTGTCAGCGTCCCCCATCACCCACAGCGGAGGTCTTCAAACCTCCTAGAGCCCGGAGCCTGAGGTTCTAATGAAACCTAATGAAACTTTGCAGGAAAAAACAACAAACAACGTGGTTCCCTCACCTCACACTGCAATGGACCCAGAGCAGCAGTCCACCAAACCACCTGGACACCCTGGCCCCTGGTCAGCCTCACCTTCTCAGGGGTGCCTCCCATCCTCTACCTCACCTCACTGGACCTTGGCACTGCCCACACCATACAGATAGTGCCGGCAGCTCCCCAGGGCGCCACCCTGGACTGGGAGCACCCAGGGCAGGGTCTGACATTTTATCTTCTTGGGGCAGGGCTTGGCTCAGAGCCTAGAGACCGGGTGGTGAACCCAGGCGGCTCATACACTTTCCCATTTACTTGTGCCTGCAGTCCCCCAGGATCCACATCCCTTGGCTCAGAGAGGGCCCCATGGACAGTGCCGGGGGTCAAACCCCAGGCAATGCTCACATGCCCACACGCATGGGCCCTGTCTGCCACTGCCACAGCATCACGGGTAGGCTCCGCAAGAGGAGCGGGATAAAGGAACCACCAGGTCCAGGCTGGAAGCGGCCAGACGTGGTGGGTGTGGGAGGGGTATGCCCAGGGATCAGTGTGAGTCTGATCCCTGTGTGGGGTGGGGTGGGGGCTGGCAAAGGATCGTCTCTGTGGGCAAACGGGCTTGCCTTCAGATGCTCATACAGAAGGGAAGACTGGCCCACCGGCTGACACGGGGGTGGGGCTTAGGGCCTGGCTTGGAGGAGGGGAACCCACAGGCAGCCTGTCCTTCCTGGCCCCAGTCAGCGTCTGAGCCCCCGACAGGGGCTCCAGGCCTTCAGAGAGACAAAGGGCCATTGAGGCCCCAGGCCCAGCAGGGGGAGGGGAACACAGGCTACCAGAGCTATTTTGGGATCTTCAGACTCAAAATCATTCAGCCCTGACCAGCCCATGCAGGCGCATGCCCTAGGAAGGAACAGAGGATATTCTGAGCCAGAAATTAGCCCCTCTGGTCTCGGGGCTCACACTCAGCAACATGTGACTACACAGACGCACACACGCACATTCAGCGTTCCAGGTGTTCCGATGCAGACACCCAAGTTTGCACTGGCACTGGGTGTTACACACTCCTTCCTCACTCACTGGCATGAATGCACACTGGGCACCACACACACTCTCACCTCCAGGCCTCATCACACACACACACGCACTCACCTCACACACATTGTCCCTCACCCACACAACACACGTTGGGTTTGCCCCCACGTACACCCCTGTGCACACATGAAGGCTCTGGTTGGGTACCTCCAAGGACTTCTTTGGGCCTGAGAAGGAAGGTGGGGGATGGGGTCTGGAGAAGATGGGGTATCCAGCCCACCAGCAACCTGATGGCCTCTTTCTTGAGCAGATGACCCCTTCCTCACTCTGGAGGGACCTGGGCCCAGCTACCCAAGAAAGGACGGGGTGGAGGTGGGGTGGCACCACCTTCCCCTCGGCACGGTCACAGTGCACATGCCCACACACACCTCTAGTGCTGGGGCCTCCCCTGGCCAGAGCCACCTCCAGTCCCCCCAGTCCCTGGGGGTCTTGAGGCGCACACCATGAGGATAGAAAACGTAGCTGCCCTGGCGTGGGTCAGTCAAGCGTAGGCTACCTAGCTGGCCCAGGCTGCCCTGGTGGGGGAGGGGAAGAGGACCAGA